TTATGTATTCAATATTAGCGAGTATATATGGAGACGTTGACAAACATCGCGTAACACAATATAATCGATACATAAATAACCATAATTTCTCAAAATGGACAGGAGATGTTACTCTTGAGCAGATAAACGGCTTTGAAAAGGTTAATGATATATCTGTAAGTGTTTTTTCATACAACTTAGATGGTAAATACATAATCCCTCTTCGCATTACCAGAGAGAAAAAGAGTAAACACGTTAAATTACTCTTATATGCTGATCATTTCTATCCGATTATAAGCTTACGTAGAGCCTTGAACAGTAAAACTAATAGAAGACGATACCACTGTGAAAGATGTCTACATGGGTATACTTCTAAAGAAAAACTTGCAACTCATCTGATTGATTGTGAAAATAGAGCCGTACAACGAGTGAAACTACCCGTGGTATCGAGGCAAACTCCATTTGCAGATTTGGTTAAGAGGAACTTGAAAAAAGAAAGCAAACACCCTTTCATCATTTATGCAGATTTTGAAAGTGTCTGTATACCAACTGGTGATCCAAGAAAAGTATCTCGTCACGAGCCTAGTAGTTATGGTTACTACTCCATTGCCAAAAGAATATCAATTTTCTTCCATAACCTTAAGAACTATGATAGTCATTTACTTATTGCTGGAATGGACGGTAAAACCTTCTCTTCCAATATTACCATAATACCACAATCTTTGGAAAAGTATATTGGATGGTATTCCGGTAATTTAGCTTTCCTCGATTCGTATGCTTTTTTACCTGCTAGCCTTGACACTCTATCGAAAGATTTAAGCCTAGTCGATAAGGGCACTTTTACGTCAAGAGTGGAAAACTCGTGATCTAACCGACCTTCTTGATAAAGCTGTCCTTCCATACGAATATTTGGACTCATTTGAAAGGTATGAAGAGATCTACCTCAAATAGAATCATTCTATTCATCTCACTGATAAATCTATTACAATTGAAATGTATGAAAGATTAACGCGTGTCTGGAAACAATTTAACTGCCAAAATTGGGTGATCTGATAGACATTTATTTACGTTTAGATGTACTTTTGTAGCCGCTGTTTTTGAAAACTTTAGAGAAACAAGTTTAAATGACTTTGCTATTGACCCGCCATTATATGTCAGTTCCTGGTTTATCTTTTGCCTCAGCGATAAAGATGCTAAAGTATCCCTGAAGATCTTTACTGATCTGGAAATGTACATGATGGTTGAGAACGGAATAAGAGGTGGTTTCACTACAGTGGCCAAGAGACACGTAAAAGCAAACAATAAATTGGTTCAATCATACGACGGAGGCGATCAAACATGGATTCTTTATTTTGACGTGAACAATTTATATGGCAAGGCAATGTGTGATGTTCTACCGTTTGGTAACTATCAATGGTTAGAGTCACGACAGTTAAACTGTTACCTATCTGTCGAAGACGATGCACCAACAGGTTACATTCTTGAAGTTGATCTAATCTATCCTGAGACACTGCACGATCTACATAACGATTTTCCACTTGCTCCACATAAAATGGTAATTTCAGATTCAATGTTAAGTCCAACCGCTAAATCTATTCTCGATGAACTAGACCAGAAGTCAACAAAAACTGAGAAACTTGTTGCTACTTTTCTTCCTAAAACCCGATATGTTATCCACTACCGAATGCTCAAGTATTACGTCAAACATGGATTGAAAGTGACGCATATTCACCGAGTAATATCTTTCCATCAAAAGCGTTGGTTATCACCGTACATCAACCTTTGCACCGAAAAGAGGAAACAAGCATCCTCTCCTTTTGTCTCATCCCTTTACAAGCTATTTGTAAACAGCAATTATGGTAAATTGATGGAAGATAAAAGGAAAAGAGTTAAAGTTGACTTGGTGACAACAGATACTATGGCTGCAAGACGAACTCGAAAGCATCTATGTAAAAACATGCGAATCCTCTCAGATGATAAAGTGCTTTTTCAAATGCTACCGGATACCGTTTTACTTGACAAACCCATAATTGTTGGTTTTACTGTATTAGAGTTGGCTAAACTTCATGTTTACACCCTCTACTATGATAGATTTAAATCTTATTTTCATGATAACATCAGTTTAGTATATTCTGATACTGATTCTCTCTTAGTTGAGATAAAAACTGACGATTTAGTTCGAGATATGGATCATTTTTCAGATATAATGGATTTCAGTGATCTTCCTGTTGAACACTGCTTGTATAGCAGTAACAATCGAAAAAGAATTGGATGTCTAAAGGATGAGATGAATGGTCAAGTGATTGAAGAAGTTATCGCTCTGAGACCAAAACTGTATGCAATCAAAACACAAAGCGAGGTTAAAAAGAGGGCTAAAGGAGTTCAAGGTGTTGTAGTTGAGAACCAGTTATCATTTGAGGATTATAAAAATTCTCTTTTCAATGTGAAAACAGTTCGAAGGACAACACGTAGACTGGGATCAGAAAATCACATTGTTCATCTATATGTAAACGATAAGATTGCTTTATCACCATTTGAAGATAAGCGTTACCTCATTGATTCTGTAAACTCTCTTGCCTATGGACACTACTCAATAAAACAATAATCTATTGAATTGTCTGTAAGATTTCTTCTTTCTCGCGAATATAGTGATATCAATTTACTCGCGATTAAAAGGATCTCATTTTCCTCGCGAATTATGAGAAATCCTCATTCTCGCGAGACCTGACCGATCACTGAATTTTTTGAGCTCGCGAGTTCGCGCCCACCCGGGGGAACTTGTTATTTCGAGTTCACATTTTTATTTTTTATTTTAATAGAGAGAGTAGTTTTTTGTACATTAAATACTCATTTCTCGAATGGTTACAGCTTTTCATAAGTTTAAAGAAAGATTTTTTGTTCGACATCAGTACAAAAAGTAAACAATAATAGCCACAAGCTGATGAATCATCTCCCTGATATTTTGATTTCGATATTTGATAGAAGGAAACGCTTCTCTGCATGAATGATAAAATTTCAGGAGGAGGGGGTCGTCCGAAAGAGTCAAAGTAAATAGCTCTACGGTTACTGTCAATGTATACCGATACCCAATGTGAACCTGGTTGGTAAGAAGGATCCAAATTTACAATGTAATTTATTTTTGTTGTTGGAATCACCAAAGGTAAATTATTGATTGAATAAACTCCACCGAAAAACTTGTTTCCAGACAATAACATTTCCAGCTCTCTCGATGTTAACATCCTTTGTTAATCACTCAATAATCTATTACAACGGTTCGCTCTCTGTCAACTGTTATCAGGTTATCAAATTGTCCAAGTACAATCAGTTTAACTTGTTTAGTCAATGTTTTAGAAAATCTAATTTCACATCTTATAGACCCTCGCCTAAGTAGATTTAGTGTTCCCGTTTCTCCCCCCAGTGTACCATCACTACTCAAATCAAAGGCAAATAGGCAATAATTTGACTTGTATTTGTCATAGTCAATGTCACATTGCGGGATTCCGTCGTCTTGACCAGTGTAACGGTAAAGATTGATAAATTCTCTCATGTACAAGTTTCCCTCAAAGTCAGGTTGGTATGGGACTGTTGGTACATGGTTACCGTCAACATTCAAAGCTAAGTGAGAAACTGAAAAATTGTCAAATTTAAATGGGCCTGACTGTCGATCACCAGAAAATGATTCTTCACTAACAAAGCCTAAGATGATACGCTTAGGTAGGAAGCCATTGAACAAATTTTCAACTGTTATCATGTTAACATCCTTTGTTATTGTAAAGTTTTTCATTTCGTTTCTTATGATGAAATATTTTGCTGGTACTCTACTAAGTGTTGTGAGAAGTGCTGCTTGAGCATCGGGAAATAGTTTAACCCTTCTAACAAACAATGATAAACTTGTTATTTTAGTTTTATATGTTTCTGTGTCAGCCTCAGTTGTTGCCCAAACTGGAAAGGTTAACGGACTTCGGGTTAGTTTGAAAGTCATGGGTAATCCACTCACCATCAATCGATCTTGTTGACAAATGGGTAAATGTAAACGAAAGAATAGATCATAGGTTCGACTTGCAACAACAAATTGAGGTTCTTTTCGTGAAAGGTTACCAGTGTCCACAGGGTTGGGAAATTTATAAAGAAGATCTTCAAGAAAAGCCTGATAGTGGTACATGTTTGAAGCTTGACATAAGTTTACACCATTGAGAAATAAGTCGATTTGCTCAAATAGAGCATTCCCAAAATTGCGAGCCATCATTGCTTTTACTGCATTTTTTGTTGGTTCATTTGTTCCATCAATTATTTGAACTTTCATGTGTAACATTGTAGCCGCCATATCTGTCATATCCTCAGAAGGTGGAACTGCAATTTCATAGACAAGGCTACTTTCCAGGCTTGCCGATGGTCGGTATTCAGTTTCATAGCTTGACTCTATTGTTACTTGTGTAGATGGAACTGTAAACAAGGTTAGCTCACTTTTCCCTGCCGGGTTTGAGTCAACGTGTAGATACTCCATTATCCGAAAATATCCTTTCTTTGCTTTCTTTTCTTACTTTTACTTTTCACTCGTTTTACACTTCTCTTACGCTGGACAGTTTTTCTTCTTCTTCGTCTCTTTTTAGCCTTGACTGCTTTGATTAATTTCTTATATGCTTGTAATCCTACATTACCAGAACCTTTTTGCTCTAATAACTTGTTCACTTTAGCGATAGACTGAGTTGTTGCATTTCGAAGCCCTTCTTTTGCTCTCTCTTTCAATGCATCTTTAAACCTTCTCTTCTCCAACATATCAGCTCCAACGTTTACCCCTGTACGTAGAAACTGTTTACCCAGAAATTTCAGAATCGGAATTCCAAATCTTGCAATTAACGTACCTATCCCATACCCTCTTTGATATGGTGAACCTTTGAAAACACTTATATCACCGAAACCACTTCCTACTTGAGACGCGAAAAACCTTTGCAGGTCTGATTCACATGAACAATGAACTTTTCTTGACATTTTTTTATTCTCAGTGATAGTTTTACAATTTCTTATACAACTTTTTTCAAATGTAACCCAATACAAACTCGACCTGAGTTGAATTTTACTTGTTCTCCGGTCTCATCACTTAAAATGAAATTTACATCTTCCATTCTATTTGACCTTAGCGGATAATAATGAGGCTTCATGAATCTTTCATGAATTATTTGCTTCTTTTCGTCTCCTCTCAAGGGTAAAACACGAAGGACCCTTGCTGATTTGTCTCCAACAAAGTGCTCAGATACAATGTCAGAGTTTACAAACATCAAGTGAGGCTGGAAATCAAGAGCAGCAGGTTTCTCGGCACTCATGCTAACCTCGTTTGTGGTTAGTAATCGGCCAATTTTATCTAGGTAACCATAAGCATCGAACCCAAGAGCAGAAATAAAAGCTGAATCATTGAAGTGAGGGACTATAATTCGATTATCTAAGTATCCTCTGTGAACGATAATTTTCCCGCTTACCAGTTCAACAAAAGGCACTTTATCATCTTCACTAATAGTCAGTTCATTCTCTACCAATGGCTTGAATTTATATAATTGCCGTCTAACTCTTTCAATATCTTCAAGTAATTGATTTTTTTCAGCTTTCTGTTTAACCAAATCATCATTCAATCTAAGCACTTCATTGGCCAGAGAGTCATGTTTATCTTTCAACTCTTTCAAAGTCATTTCAACAGCATTTTTCTCTGAAGCGATAGATTCAACCATTTGATTCAATGTGTTTAGTTCTTCCTTTGGAACGAGTTCGGCTATTTTATCTCTAAGCTCAGCTTGAACTTTTTGTAATTCACTCACTTTTGCTCTCGATTCTTTCAAGGTCTGCTGATAGACTTGCTCTCTATCCTCCATCAGTTTCACTTTGTTTGTGTAACTGCCAGATTCTTCTTGAATTTGATCCTTTACTTTTTGTAGCTCCTCTCCTTGCTCCAGCTTACATCTTTCTAATTTTCTCTCGTATTCTAAGACTTTCTCTGAATTAGTTGACTTAGCGTCGAGCAAGTCTCTTTCGATCTTTTTTAACTTGACATCGGTTTCCTCCTTAAGCACATCATATTTCTCTTGCAATGCCAAAAGGTTTGCATCGCGTTCACTTTTTAGTATTTCAAGTTCACTTCGTAGTTTTGAGGCTTCAACGTTCTTGGCCATAGCATCATCTTGCCATCGTTTTAATCTTAACAAGGCATCTCTCAAATCTTTCTTCAGATGATAAATCTCGGAATCTTTGTTAGGTTGTTTCTCAAGCTTGTTTATCTTTTCAGTTTGATCAGCCAACAATTTTTGTGCAGTTAATTTATACTTAGCAAAATCATCTTCAGCGTCGATTCTTGAAGCTAGGTTAGCATTAACAACTGCTACTTCTTTGTTTTTTTCTGACATCTCGGTGGACAGAGAGGCAATTTCCTGTTCTTTTGCTTTTACTTTTCCACTCATCTCATCGATTTGCTTTAGAAGCTCTTCAAATGCTGCTAAACCTTTGCTTTTAATCTCTTTCAAATGCTGCTAAACCTTTGCTTTTAATCTCTTTCAAATGAGCCAATTTTTCTTCAGTTGTGAAATTTGCACTTTCAACTTTCAAAAGTTTATTAATAGACTCCATAATATCTCTTTTGGGTCGTTTTGCTTTTGTTGTATTATAATGTTTTCGCATACTAGTGTTTATTTTATCAATTATTGATCTCTTATCATCATTAGCTTCCAACATTACGTCCAGCTTAACCTTTTGTCCAAAGCCATCAATTAACAGGTGAAGCGACAAGCTTCGGGCGGTTGCACTTATGTCTGATGGGTAAAAAATCTCTTGAAGACCTACTAACCACTCACCGTTTAGATCAATTGCTCGAGCTAAACGATTTGAAAATTTTGTCAAAGTGTTCTGAGGAAAGATGTCCATTGACGCATTTGATACTGCTTCAATGAAATATTCTTGAGGTTGGTTCCACATCTTGAACCCACTGATTGAATTTACTTGGATAATCTAGCCACTTAACAAAGTACTCCTTTTTCTTGCTACTTGGATTTATTCTTGTTCTTAATATTTTCTCGATCTGATATAAGCTCGGTTCTATAGCTTGGATAAGCTCATTATGGTAAAAAACTGATGTGATCCTTTCACCAGCATAATCCTGTAGCCAATAAACCCAACCTTGTGGTGTTCTCTTGTGTTTTCTTATTGTAAAAATTTCCAATTTGAAGTTTCTCTTAGCTCCTTTCTCGAATATTCCTTTCTCTCTTCTTATTCGGACCTTTGCACCCACAGAAAAAGGCTTGTAATTGGCATTACTTTTCGGATGACTTTTTCTTATATTTCTCAATACTGTTGAAGAGTTTTCATCATTCACTTCTACCGGTGACATGCCAATTGTCCGATGGAAGGACTTATTATATGATTCTATTATTTCTTCATGTACATCGATATATTTACCAGTATTCACATGATGTAAATAACGATAAATCCTAGCTCTTAGTGTACCATTGAATCTCTCCACAATTGCACATTTTATCACACCATCGGTAGCAAAAAAGTGATTGATTTTTTTGCGAATCATCAGAGCCTTGAAGTCTGAGTTGGCAAACTCTTTACCCTGGTCACTTTGTAACTTTTCTGGTACTCTTTGCTTAGAGAAAATATTCTCTAATGCTTGAACAACCTCAAGGCCTGTTTTTTTTCTTATCGGTCGTGACCAGGCAAATTTACTGAAACAATCAATAACGTTGAGTAGGTAACGGTAACCATCGTTATACTGACTGACCCAGGACATATCCATCAAATCTATTTGCCATTGTTCATCAATCTTGTTAACTAAAATTGGTAATCGAGGAAATTTATTTTTATTCTGTTTGAAAAGAACGTAAGTGTCTTGATCCTTTAACCATTTATGTACATCGCTCAATTTAGCAGATGGATCAATCTTTTTAATTGCCTTGAACAGTCGATTTACTCCACCAAATGATCCTATCGCTTTCGGCGAGTAATATTCTCTCTCATAACGTTGGAAGCTTTCAGCCATGATATGTTCACTTGTTTTAATTTCTCCTTTGCTTTAGGGTTATTGATGTGGCTTAAACATTCCCTACAGTTTTCTTTTATGTACTTTAATACTTCTGTTGTTCCATTTGGTGCTCTCCCAGTATAGTTTTTAGACTGTAAATATTCAACTATTCTTTCAATGTCACTACCTTTGATTTTTCCATCGTCACTGATTATTTTATTATCACTTCCAACTAAATCACTCTCTTTTTTCAACAAGGACAGTAGATCGTTTGTTCTTGTTTGTTGGGGGTTGATGATGATGATGACGATGGTTGTCTGTAAAATGGTGAATTTTTTGACGGTTCCTCAGTCTCATTATTATACGTGTTATCCAAAGTAGTATGGAAAGAGTCTTCTGAACCATCAAACTTGATATTATTTCCATCTGAACTCTCATTACCTTCTTCTTTTTTTATATCTTGATACATTCGATATCTTGCTTTCAACTCATTTCTTAGACGACTTTCATCTTTTTCTTTTGCCTTTTCTTTCTTCATGTCATCTTGCATCATCAATTGGTTGATGAGTTTAACTTTTACACTATTCGGTAAATCAGCTCATAATCGGCTCAAAGTCTGTTTGTTTCGCTTATTAACATTGTTGTTGTACTGGTCTTCAGGAATCAGTACCATACGAGTTGTTGTATTCATTATTCAATTTGCTTTGAAAGTAAATTTGCGAGAATTGTTATAGCTGGAACAAGTAAACCTTTTAGCAATCCACCTTTCTGAACTAGAATTCTTTTTGCATTTCGACGAGTAATTTTACCACCGAGTCTTCGAATATCTTTTTTGAACCGTTTCACACGAGCTTTTTGTCTCGCTGTCAAATGAATGTGTCCTTTCAATATTTTAGCTGCTATTTCTTTTATAACTTTCAATACGTTACATGGACAGGATGTTAACAATTTTTTACGTTCAATTAGTTTTTTTGCTTTACTTAACTTCTTTAAAGCTGGTAAGACCGCGATCGCTTTTGAAACAGACATTTTTTTTAACATAGTAAAATTTATTCATTTCTTATACAATTTAAATCTGATAGGCATAAATTACTTCCTTTTCTCCCAAAACATCTGTTAACAATCTAACTTCATCGGGTGTATCAGGCTTACAGTCAATGAATAAGTATGAAAAAGGGCTTCTCGTCGCGTTTTCAAATATCTGTCTGAACTGTGCTGAACGTCCGGGAAACATTTGCTTAGCTAACATTGTTGAAATGGATTTATCTCTTGGGTTTTTAAACAAAACAATATAATGAGAGTTTAAAGATATATTTCTTGACTCACCACCTTTTACAAAAAAGTTTTGCACTAATAAAATTACTGATAGGTTTCTATGATGACTCCCTTTCGTAAAAAGCTGTGATACTATCTTTGAGTTAGACGATTCATGCATCAAGTCATCAATTATTATTAAATGAGGACTTTTACCATCAATCTTATCAAAAAAATTGTCTGGTAATCCTTTGATAAACTGAACACTTTCCATCTCGTTGAAGATTGGTTGGTACTCTGCATAAAAGTATGTTATCAATGTTGGAACTGGACTTATTGTTTTCTCTCTATTTTCAGTTAGTCTCTTCACCCAAAATGATTTTCCACATCCACTGGGTCCTGCCACCATCATTGTGAATGGGTGTCTCAAGTATATTGAATACATGTTGTTCATTTCAAATCTCTTATCACTCAGATAATCTTATATGATTCATTTAAAATTAGCATAAATTTTGAGACAAAGTTACATTAAACAGGACAGGAAATGTGCATTTTTGAAAAGTGTATTTTTGAAAAGTGCATTTTAAGTCATACTTGCATTTAAGTCGTACCTGCATTTAAGGGGTACACTCTTATACTACTAACCTCGTTTTCAAATAGTTTTTGACTGAAATTACAAAATGCAATTAATATTTTTTTCTTGATTAAATTGTATCTTGCAATGCTCAGAGTTTGTTCAAGTAAAACTTTTTCTGGCTCATAAAAGAAAAAATCTTGGTACAGAGCATCATGATATTGGTTGAGAACATTATTTAAATTCGAGTTGAAATCTACACCATCCATTGGAATTTTGTATTGTTGTATCTCCAATTCTAAAATCTGGTTCAAAATTCGTCTAAAAGCTCTATCAGAATTCCCATTTTCATTGATATCAGGCTTAAGATTATTACAATCTATTGGATTAAGTTGTTTTGATTTCAATCTCTCGATATTCTCAATCAATTTCATGCATTGGAAACTGTACTCTTGTTGTCTCATTGCTTTTTTCATTGTTTATGATACGAATTAAATGGGATTAGATTATGGTTTCGTATTTGGTGGTTCACAGTATTGATCTTTCTTTTGATCTCTTCGTCTTCTAATCCTTTAAGAATAAACCCGTTCGTGAGTCCTATTCCCACATCTGGATTGTAGTAAAACCTAAGTTTGTTAATATTAATAGAAGATGATTTGAAAGTTTCATCGTTAAAGGCACTGAATGTTTCTGGTGGAAAAATGTAAACATAATCAATGTAAACAGGAACAGTCAGCTTGCTAGATTCCGAAGACAATAGTGAAATCTGTAAACAAGCATCAGAAAAGCTAATCCAATGTCCAGTGTCTTTGACCACCCCCCACCTTCCATTATCAAAAGCTTCTTCTACACCTTGGAATGATCCTGAATAATCATAACCACGAATTCTAAATTCCTTGTAAATATCCTTCTTTTGAAGTATAATATCTGAACTTTCTTTGATATTCTTAAAATCAACAGGCAGCAAGTTTATTGTCGGTTTATCAACAAGATGGTATTTTCCAGTTAAACAAACATTTTTACTCTCATTTACGTAGATGAGAAAAGTTCCAAGATTTTCATTAATTTTCATAACAAATTTTATTTGACCTGTGGTTGATGTGAATTGTGTCGCTCGAAGAATCTGAACTTGATAGAATTCAATTGGATGCTCGTCAGGTTCGAGATCAAGACTCTTACAGACCATTTGCCAAGCGACATAAAGATAGCCTGTTGCTGGGAACAAAATTCTTCCATCTATCTGATGACCAGTAAGAAATGACCAGGAAGGGTCGTGAAGATCAATTATTTTGGAAAATTCAGTTTCTTGTTTAGAAATCTTGTTGTATTTAGCATCAAACCATTCCTTTTCATGCTTCCATTTAATCAGATGACCAATGTGTTGAGTTTCTCTTGGGACTGGATATTCAATTTGATCATAAAGATTTGTAACCATTGGATTAAGACCACGAAGATAAATTTGACCAATCATTTTATAAAGATGCACAATCGATTGGTTATAATAGCTGCTAATATTCAACGTCTTTTGATCATTTATTAAGAATATTGATGATTGTCTCGTCTCAACACTTGCAACAATTTCTAATAACACAGAGTTCGAATCAGTCTTTTCTATTATTTCATTAAAACTACATGATTCTGTGATACAGGAAACGAAAAAATGTCCATCAATGATATGCTCTTGATCAGAATTGATAAAGTTTTCACAAAAGTTAGTCGTTAATCTTGAATTTATCTTCAATGGTCTGAGAAATTTATTGATTACTGGTTCAAGCGGTTTTGATACTTCGTCGAGGAGAGATGAATTAAAAGGAATCCCTTTAGTATCAATTATATTTGTCTTGATATTAGGTCCGATTTTTGAGATGAACTGTTTAACTTCATCTATGATACCAGTGATCAACGTCCAATCCCCTGACTCAGTTGAAGCTAATTCGATACAACCAAATTTCATCTCTTCAATTTGTTTCCATGATAAATTAACATAAGCCATTGCTCCTTTTCCTTTAAATTGTTTACAAGCGACACCGATATGATAACCGATTAACAGAGCATCTTCATCAGTCATACATCCATCAGCATAAGAAGCAGCAATTGAACCAATCGAATGACCAATTATACCTTTCGGTTCAATTTCCAAACATTTAGTTAGTAAATCACAAAGAGCGATTTGAATCGCAATTGACGAAATTAAAAAGGAAATTAAATCCTGTTGATTAGATTGGATAATCTTGATAACATCAATTCCTAATGAGTTCAAGCGATCGGTTTGCATAGATCTTATTCTTGAATAAATTAGAGGAGCTTCCAACAGTTGAACAAATGATTGTGAGGAGACATTAAACATTGGAGTGAATACCAACCAAGGAAAAACTTCATCAGTTGAAACATTTTGTTTCAATGTTTGATGAATGATTGTTTGTTCATCATCCAACAGTAAATATCCACGATGATCAAACCCTGTTGATGGTTTGATCTTACTCATGTTATCCAAAAGTGCCAACGTGTATTTTGTTAACGATCCTTTTTGCTCCTCAATAAAATTAACAATAGTTTCCAAGCCTTCATAAGTTCGATTGCAAAAATTGACTAAACGTGGTACTTTATTGGAACTTAAAATTAGATCAGTCTTTTCGATTCTTTTAGAATTTGCTTGCAAAATGAAGGTAGTGTTGACACCACCAAACCCAAACGAATTTATCATAATATGATCTCCATCGAATCTTGTATTTTCAAGAATGGGTTTTATAACACCTGCAATCAGCCCATCGATATTTGGATTTGGGTCATTGAAATGTAAATTAGCAGGAATTACACCAGTTTGGAAAATCTTAACGACTTTTGAGATCGCATTCAAAACGGAAGAACCTTCAGAATGACCAATATTTGATTTGAGGCAACCAACAAGAAGAGGTTTATCTGAATTGGGTCTCATTGTTTCCATCAATGCCTTACATTCAATTGGATCTCCAACTGCAGTTCCCGTTACATGCGCTTCAACATAATCGATATCCACTGGATCTAAATGCACATCTTTAAATAATCGTTTAAGAACATCTATCTGACCTTCGAGTCGTGGAAAAGTAATTCCTTCTTTGGTGAATCCATCATTGTTCACAGCGATATTTATTAGAGAGCCGTAAACTCTCTTGGCATCAGATTTACGTTGAATTAAAATCGCAACAATACTTTCAGATCTAAGATAACCATTAGCATTAGTATCTAAACATTTGGACTTACCATCAATACTTGTCATTCCAAATGATCTGAAACAATGAGAGACAAATGGCACAAGACAATGATTATGAGCAAGAACAATCGCTTGATCACAATCACCAAACAATATGCTTCTCGCTGCAATATCGAAAGCTGAAGCAGCGGCAGCACATGCAGTGTCCACGTTGATGGCTGGACCTTTCAGATCAAACACATAATGTAACCAATTGACGCTTTCAGGATGATTCAAACCAAGAGGAACTCCTTCAAATTGTGGTCTGTGACTCTCACTTACACCAGAAAAAAGACCAGTATTCGTACCACGCCAGCTATCGGGGGTGAAACCTTCCATTTGATTCAAAAACGAATTAATAACTTTTCTCAAGATATTTTATGATTGTGCACTTACCAGCATCAATAAACATTTCGTGTATAGCCTCATGCACAACACGAATTGCTGGTAAAATGATTGAAACAGATTCTGTAGGTATTTTGAAAAATTCTGCATCAAAAAGGCCAGTATTCGGAACTTTGGCTAACCTTTTAGGTACATTTAGCAGTGCTAGTAGAAAGAGAGACACAAATATAAGTTCATATACAGTCGTGAAAAATGAGTTTCGAGTGATTTTTAGTCATTCGCGCAACTTAGCTACTAAAATCAATTGATAATCTTTATCATCAGTGATAACACTTAGATGATTTACCATTGATTTTTCTTATTTTGATTGTTAATTTTAGTCACTACCTGTCTGTATATTAATACATAAGTTCCAAATACAAGTATAAATTGAAATAATCAAATATTTCGAAAACCGCATACACATACTCACAAGTTGGCCATCTTCTATTATCTATTGTACCACCATCAACACCATTCAATGATTACCTGAGATTTAAGCCATTTAGAAAACAGCCGAATAGAAAATCGCCAAAGTGGTTTAAGCCAAAAAGATTTAGGCCAAAATTGATAAACTAATTAATAATTTACTGAGAAATTTTCACAGGTATTTCTTGATTCATTTATGATATTGGCTTCATTCAAATCGTTTCAGTCAATTTCTCAATTAAATCAGTAAAAATGTCTAATTTCGAGTTTATCACTTCAAATAAAGGAAAAAATTTAATTAAGTGTAACAATTATTTATATCGACAAAGGTCGAAGACAGGAAATGTTTCTTATTGGTCTTGTGTTGAAACTAATTGTAAATCGAGAGGAAAACTTTCAGATTCTTCATTTTCTTTGTCAAGTGATCATAATCATCAACAGAATTTCATTGATCTGATTCAACGTAATCAAAGATCAAAAGTCAAAGAGATCATTTCAACTGATCCAACAATTTCTGGGCTAACAGTTTATAACCAAGCAACAAATCAACTAATAAATCGATCCGATATCGAAACTCAATCTGAACTAATTGGCGCTTCTCTTCAGCCGTTCATCTCTCTCCAGCCCACAATTTCATATAACAAATTAAAATTACTTCCACCTTTACCTGTTACTCGTTCAGGTATTGTGATACCTGAAAATTTCAAACAGTCGGCTGGTAAAGATTTTCTTCTAGCTGAAGATGGAGATGAAGATAAAATTCTTATTTTTGGAACTCGAGATTTTTTTAGAATATTATGTGCTTCGAAAAATGTTTACATGGATGGAACCTTCAAATGTGTACCATCGATTTTTTATCAACTTTACACTATCCATGTTATGGTAAAAGATCTGATGATTCCTGTAATTTATGCTCTTCTCCCTGATAAAAATCGGTCAACTTACATAAGATTTTTTCGAATGATTCAAGATCTAGCGATTGATGCATTTCTAAGCTTTTCTCCGGAAGTTTTTATATTAGACTTCGAACTGGGAGTGATTTCTGCGATAAAGAATTTGTTTTCTTCTTCAACAATCAAATGTTGTAATTTCCATTTTGGACAATGTGTATGGAGAAAAGTTCAAAATATTGGCCTGAAAAAAGATTACGGAGTCGACCAAAATGTAACAAAAACAATCAAAAGACTAATTTCTCTGCCATTGATTAAGCCTGTTGATATTGATGAAGTTTTTGAAAAAATAGTAATTGATGCTGGTGATGGAGATAAAATTGAAAAGTTATTAGAATATTTTTATGATAACTTTTACAAAACTGATGCAAGATTTGAACGTTCACTATGGAATACAGCTGATCTGATTGGACCTCGAACAACTAATCACCTCGAAGGTTGGCATCATGCAATCAACCTGGATATCAAAATCTCTCATCCTAATCTATGGATTTTTATAAAAAAAATAATGAACCAACAAAAAATATTCGAGACGAGGTTACTAATCCAAAATTCTGGTACAAATGTTGTAAGAAAAAGGAATAAATGGATTCAAATTAATATAAAACGTGATAAACTATTCGAAAGATACAACAATGGAGAATTATCAGCTCTTGAATATTTAGACAGAATAAAATACTTACAATTTGTCTGAACTTAAGAATCGAAATTGGCTCTTTTTATTTTGGCTCAAATAAGTTTGGCTGTTTTCTATTCGGCTCATATTCTTTTGGCTATTTTGAGTGCTCACCCATTCAATAGGTTGAACCAAAATTGTTCCAAAGATTGAGCCTCAGGATAACGTCCAGATACACCAGAGATAACTAATAAGTTGTAAGGTATTGAAGCCATGGCGATATAACTCACACAAGAAACTTTTTTATCAACTAAATTTAATTGAGAAGATCATTTATATTTATATCCCTAAAAAAAGGCTAATTATATTCATGACAAGCTAATGCTTTAATTGATCAAAACCCAACACTTGACGTGGAAAAGTCAAGGAAAAGGAAAGAGATAAACAGTTATAATTAAATAGTTAGCTATATTGTAAATAGCGTCTGAACAAACGGTTTTGTTATTGTTACTTGTTAGTATTTACAAACTCACATCATCTCATTAAAAGCTATTATGATTACTTTTCGTAAGAATATATCTCAATTTCACTTACCATATTCTATTTATTATTTCTATCAGATAAGAGTTTCAAGACTATCGAGTTTATTTCTCAAAAGCTATTCATTGAATTTTCGATCTTATAATATTTCGCCATTCTTGTAAAATGTGCGAAATCATAGCGTATGTATGTTTGGTTTGTTAGATTGATCATTAAGAACTTTTCCGAATTATTGCTTTTAGTAATAAAACTTATCCCTTTTGAGCCAAGCAAATGCTAGAAGATCAGAAGGAAGATTAGCATCCTCATTCTACTTTCGATTTGATAACCGCGTTTCAGTAAATGAAGAGAATGTGATTTATTCCTTTTAATCAATCATGTCTGTCTACCTGCATTGTGAAGGATTTCATTTATACAGGTCGGTACATAAAACATTTGAACGTTTTTGACGCTTAATTGCGATTAGTTAGACAATTAATTTTTAAAAATTTTTTTGATTAATTTAGAGCCTAATCATTCAGAATTTTGATAAACTTTTTGTTGGTTTGAATCAATCATTAGCTCGAGTTCAGTTCATGATTCTACTACTAAAGAAGCCGCGACTACAACTTTAGTCCCATTGGGAAACAACAACAACATATTTGGTTTTCCCCATAGAGTTAACATTGAGATTCATTGAAACCAGTCAACTTTTTGATCAACAACAATTATCAGTTAGATTGTTATACACCAAATCAAAGGTCTTGTTTAGTAGGTTCGATTAATATATAAACCAAATTAATCGGTAAATTGGTTGAGCAGCAATTAACTAAAAACATTGAATTTTCACTTATTTTTCTGGTCCAAGTGAACGATTGGGACCGACACTAATTTTAGTGAATTAGTTTATATTCACAAAAGTTATATATCATCAGAAATCTTAATTAGCTGAGCTGAAATATATAAATTAAAACTCTAAGTTACTTACCGAGATATGGACACAAACGTTTGGACCAATTACCTTAATGAACCAATTTCATCTTTTCATCTTTTCATCTTTTCCCTTTGGCTTTTTCACTCTTTCTCATCTTGATTATAATTGTTTAAGCTCCTTAATTGTAATCCTTTTGAATGGTATCCATATGATGGTCACTTGTCCTCCTTGCCTCGTCCATTGCGACCATCCAATTCTCTCGCTTCTCTTTGTGCTCCAACCTCTTCGTCTCCGAGTTAATCCTCTTTCTTTTTCTTCCTTATTTTTATTGTCCCTAATATGCTTGATAATCCTGAGTCCATTGATCGCTTCCAGGTCACTTCAACTGCCACTAATTATGAGTCGACCAATAACACGAAAGTGACCAATTATGGACATGTTTTCTTTTCTCTATTTAAACGAAACTCTTTACAATAAATTTACACACTAAGTTATTGACAACACCACCGATAAGTTACCTTACTCATTTTTGTTTTGACTGCGCGTTTAACTGCTGAATCCTCACCGCGATTGTGAGAAGAGTAAATTATTACTAATTTAGTTAAATTGTGTCATTGTGAAGATCTCAATTAAACCAACAGGTTATGGGCTCAGCATCTTCCAATTGACTGTGTTAATCTCTGTATTCGACTGTGTGTCAATTTTTGTCAATTTGTGTGTGTGTTTGACTGTGTGTCAATTTTGTGTTTGACTGAGTGTCAATTTTGTGTTTGACTGAGTGTCAATTTTGTGTTTGACTGAGTGTCAATTTTGTGTGTTTGACTTGGGTCATAATTTAAATTATCATTGAACTTTTTTCATCAACATGGAAACCTCCGATTTCAACAGTTTAAAACTTTCGACCGACAACTATTTACAATGGAAAACGTTTATCGCTTGTGCTTTAAAGGCTACGTATGTGTGGAGAATCGCCAATGGTCAACAACCGTGTCCACTTCCACTTGAGGCCGATGAGTCTGGACCTCCAACCGCTGCTGCAGTCAACCGAAGAAATAAAGAAATACTTGATTGGGAAGCAAGTGATGCTCTTGCTGGGACGATAATATTCAATTCATTAAATAAAACAAATGCCGATTTGATCATCAATTGTTCAACATCATTTGAAATGTATACAAAAATTGTCAACCATAAAGAACAACGGACAACAACAAATAAATGGAATATCAGAAGTAAGTTGACCAACCTTAAGTTCACTACATCTCACACGGTGGTTAGTTATCTGTCCGAATTAGATTCAGTTGTTAAACAAATGAGTGACTTAGGAATGAAAATTGATGAAGATGAATTAATCGTTAAGATACTTTCTGACTTACCTTTGACTTTCCAATCTTTTCGTGAAACTACTCAATTAGCAATGATTTCGGGTTACAATTTAAAGTTAGATGATTTAAAGTCTCAATTATTAATTGTAGAGAAACAAAAAGAAACCAATCAAGAAAATAAACAAGTTGAAGCTTTGATTAGTAAAGGTAACAATTTTAAACAATTCAATAAAAATACAAAGCGATGTTTCAAATGTAACCGTAAAGGTCATTTAGCTAATCAATGCCGGTCAAAGGGTAATTTCAATAATCAAAATAATCACAATCAACAGCAAAATAGTAACAATCAAACTAATTTCAATAATAAAAATTACCAAGGGAAAAACAATCGATTCAATAACAACCGAAACTTCAACAATCGCTTCAACAACAGAAACAATTACAATCACCAGAATAATCAGAACAATAATTACAATCATAATAACCAGAATAACCAAAACAACCAAAACTTGATCAACATGAATCAAAATAATCAGAATCATTACAACAACAATAACAACAACTCATTTCAATCAAACAATCAATCTAATGTTAATCAAGTTGTAGTTAATAATCAAGATGATTACAGTTTAACAGTGAATGAAAATGAATCAAAACAAACTCAGTGGTTATTAGATACTGGTGCTAGTTATCATCTCACCAGTGATGTTAATTGTTTCTCTAATTTTCAACAATTAAATGAACCAATTTTACTTACAATTGGAGATGGTAAAAAGATTGAAGCGATAGCAAAAGGCGACATTTTAGTTGAGTGTTACAATGGTACCAATTGGTTACAATGTCGACTGACCAACGTTTTGTTTGTCCCTCAGTTGGGCGATTTCAACCTTTTCTCATGGGCGCAAACTGTTGCCAAAGGCTATGGCCTTAAGTCAACATCATTGACCACCGAAATTTATCACATTGAGAGCAATAGAAAAGTAATTGTCGCGAATAAAATAGGAAACTCGTTTAAATTGATGATCAGACCAAGAAAATTAAACGATAAATTTGCTGTTGTTACTAAAGATGCTACTCTAAGTGAATGGCACAAAAGATTAGCTCACATTAATGTACACAAAATAATCAAAATGTCGAAAGATGGATTGTTACCTAAAATTAGAATTGATTACGAGCCAGAAAATTTCTTTTGTGAAGGATGTGTGAAAGGCAAAATGTGCTCGAGAAGCTTCAAAACAGTTCCTACTCGAAAAGTCGAAGTAGGTGAAGCGATTCATTGTGACCTACAGAGTCCAATGCCTAAGCCTTCAATCAATGGTAACAAATATGCACTGGTAATCAAAGATGAATCAAGTTCTTATCGATCAATTTACTTTCAAAAATTTAAATCGGATACTTTTGAGAATTTAGATAAATTCATAAATGAAGCTGAGAAATTAACAGGAAATAAAGTGAAAATGTTGAGATCCGATAATGGAAAAGAATTCATTGACTCTAGAGTAACTGATTTGCTTAAGAATAAAAACATTAATCACGAATTGAGTGCCCCTTATGTCCCTCAACAAAATGGACGAATTGAAAGAGAAAATAGAACAATTTCTGAATTAGCGCGATTAATGATGTTAAACAGTAACTTACCTGAATTTCTATGGGCAGAAGCTATGAACACCGCTGTGTATGTATTGAATTTAATTCCAGGTAAAGGTCAAACTGAAATGACTCCATTGGAACTGTTTACAAAGGAAAAACCAAGATACTCACATTTAAAGGTCTTTGGTTGTGTATGTTACTCCAAAATTCCGGATATTGGACGAAAGAAATTTGATCCGAAAGCAAAGAAAGTGATCTTTGTTGGTTATTCCAAAACAATTAACAATTATCGTGTTTACGATCCAATTACTGGTCGCATCTTCATTACAACAAATATTAAATTCAATGAGGCTGATTGTGATGCTGAAAAAGCAATTAACCAAGTAAATGATGAAGAAGATGCGGATGATGAAGAAAATCTAAAAGATTTGGTTAAAGATGATGATAATGAAGATTTTGATGATGATGTTGATGATGCTGCAAGTGATACCACAGAAATAATTGATAATCCTCCAGAATCAGTTGATTGGTCTTCCTCGATAAACGCTATTATTTTCCAGGCGATCGTGACCAATTGCGAGCCATTAACCTATGAAGAAGCTGTTAATAGTGAAAATAAAGATAATTGGATGAAAGCAATCGCGGAAGAAATGAAATCAATTAAAGAAAATAATACTTACGTTCTTACCAAGTTACCACCAGGAAAACGATTGATTTCTTGTCGCTGGATTTTCAAGATTAAAAGAAACACCGATGGTTCAATCAACAGGTACAAGGCAAGATTAGTTGCCAAGGGTTATTCCCAAAAGTCTGGAATCGATTACTTTGAGACCTTTAGTCCAGTTGCGAGATACGATTCCATCCGTGCGATATTGGCCATCAGTTCAGCTCGTCGAATGCACTTGATGCAATTTGATATTAAAACTGCCTTTTTATATGGTGAACTAAAGGAAGAAATCTTCATGGAACAACCACCAGGATTAGAAGATGGTACTGATCGTGTATTATTATTAAAGAAAGGCCTTTATGGCTTAAAACAATCTCCCCGCCGATGGAATGAAAAAGTTGTTCAATTTTTCACCGATCATGGTTATCAACAATCACAAGCTGATCAATGTATTTTCGTCAATTTCAACAATGGATTAACTGTTTGTGTTATTTATGTGGACGATGGATTAATTGCAAGTGAAAATCCACAACAAATGAATCAACTAATCAATGATCTGAAAAGAAAATTTCAAGTTAAAGTCCACCAACCGGAAGTGTTTGTTGGTATGGAAATTTATCAAAGCCCTGACAGGTCAACAATCAAAATTAAACAATCAACATTCATCAAAGAGCTTCTTAAACGATTCAAAATGGAAGAGTGTAAACCTGTGTTGACACCCGGAGACACCAATGTTAAATTAATTTCATCACCTGAACCTCCCGATACAAAATATCCATATCAAGAAGCTGTTGGTGCTCTCCTTTACCTTTCAATAATCAGTCGACCTGATATTACTTATCAAGTAAACAAATCATCACAATTTAATTGTTGTTACAATGAACAACATTGGAAATCAGTGAAACGAATATTTCGATTTCTTAAAGGTACAATCGATATTGGCATTACCTACTCATCTTCACCTGAAAATTTACAATTAATTGGTTATTGTGATGCCGATCATGCAGGAGATTTAGTCTCGCGAAAGTCTACCTCTGGATTTGTGGTCACTCTAGGAGATTCACCAGTTTCATGGTCATCGAAGTTACAGAAAAGTGTCGCTCTGTCAACTACTGAAGCCGAATACATGGCAATTGCTGATTGTACTAAAGACACTTTATGGTATCAACAACTATTAAAAGATTTAAAAGTGTCCATCAAGTTACCAACGAAAATTATGAGTGATAATCAAGGAGCAATCAAATTATCAAAAAATAGTGTTTTTCACAAACGAACTAAACACATTGAAGTTCGTTACCATTTCATCAGAGATCATCAAGAAAAGAATCAGATTGATGTTCAGTTCATCCCAACAGAGAAACAACCGGCCGATATGTTTACTAAACCACTTTGTTCACCGTCATTAAGAAAATGTTGTAATTACCTTAATATTGATTAACCCGAGATTGGAGCAAGGGAAGGTGTTGGTTTGAATCAATCATTAGCTCGAGTTCAGTTCATGATTCTACTACTAAAGAAGCCGCGACTACAACTTTAGTCCCATTGGGAAACAACAACAACATATTTGGTTTTCCCCATAGAGTTAACATTGAGATTCATTGAAACCATTCAACTTTTTGATTAACAACAATTAACAGTTAGATTGTTTTATATTAAATCAAAGGTCTTGTTTAGTAGGTTCGATTAATATATAAACCAAATTAATCGGTGAATTGGTTGAGCAGCAATTAACTAAAAACATTGAATTTTCACTTATTTTTCTGGTCCAAGTGAACCATTGGGACCGACACTAATTTTAGTGAATTAGTTTATATTCACACGAAAGTTATATATCATCAGAAAGCTCTTAATTAGCTGAGCTGAAATATATATAAATTAAAACTCTAAGTTAATTACTTACCGAGATATGGACACAAACGTTTGGACCAATTACCTTAATGAACCAATTTCATCTTTTCATCTTTTCATCTTTTCCCTTTGGCTTTTTCACTCTTTCTCATCTTGATTATAATTGTTTAAGCTCCTTAATTGTAATCCTTTTGAATGGTATCCATATGATGGTCACTTGTCCTCCTTGCCTCGTCCATTGCGACCATCAATTCTCTCCTTCTCTTTGTGCTCCAACCTCTTCGTCTCCGAGTTAATCCTCTTTCTTTTTCTTCCTTATTTTTATTGTCCCTAATATGCTTGATAATCCTGAGTCCATTGATCGCTTCCAGGTCACTTCAACTGCCACTAATTATGAGTCGACCAATAACACGAAAGTGACCAATTATGGACATGTTTTCTTTTCTCTATTAAACGAAACTCAATAAATTTACATTAAGTTATTGACAACACCACCGATAAGTTACCTTACTCATTTTGTTTTGACTGCGCGTTTAACTGCTGAATCCTCACCGCGATTGTGAGAAGAGTAAATTATTACTAATTTAGTTAAATTGTGTCATTGTGAAGATCTCAATTAAACCAACACTTTTAATTAAATTTTTCTGATAAAAATTTTAGAAATTAGAATTTTTTTCCAAAAAACGGGTTTTTTGAAAAAAAACACGTCTATAGAGAATTGACCTGGTACCCAAACGGACAGAGAAAAATTATCGAAAATCACACAATTTATAGGCAAAAAGTCAATTCACAAGATGTACTTTACAAAATTTCAAAATTAGGAACCAAAAAAAAGTTATCAGGTTTTAAGTGAAAAACGCGAAATCCCATAGGAATACATGTGATTTTGAAAAAAATTTTAATTTCTGTTTTTTTCCCATAGACCGTAATGTTAATTTTGTAAAAAAGTGAAAAATCAATTTTGCACCAAAATCTTTTTAATTTCTAAAATTTTTATCAGAAAAATTTAATTAAAAGTTTATCAAAATTCTGAATGATTAGGCTCTAAATTAATCAAAAAAATTTTTAAAAATTAATTGTCCAACTAATCGCAATTAAGCGTCAAAAACGTTCAAATGTTTTATGTACCGACCTGTAGAATGAAAGTTATCTTTGGACCTGATTTTCACCTTCGTATCAAACAATTGGCAAAAATGTAAACTTTAATCAAATTGGAATCAAAAAATTAGAGCACAATCCCAGTGTACAAAACTTAACGTTTAGTTCAGTGCCCGACGAAACAAATGGATGTGCAATTAAATGAGAAAACCAATACAAAGTTACATTAAATTACAAGTTGAAATTAATTTAATATCAATTATTAGATTGAACACAATGAACAACATGATAATATTTACAGGTGAATCAAGTAATCGAAATGTGTACTTAAAGTTATTACAATTAAATATAGAAAGATAAAAATATTCAATTTAAGTTATTAATCTCATCAAACCAGAATTCAAATATTAAAATGCTTTTAAAATGTATCAATCTGTTGGATAAATTTTGTTAAATTAGTTTATAAATTGATCAATTGTTTACTTCTGCACAAGGCTGAATGTTTCCATTTAATATTCCAATCGTTTAATCGAAAGCTAAATGGTCAACAATTATTTGGATTCAGTAGTATTATTGAGTTTCATTCATTCATTTTTTTCGAGCAGAAGTTACAAGAGGCCTCAATAGATGGCACTGAGTTTACTGTGTAATTTACTTTCTTTAGTTGTTTGATTATTTAAATCGGTCAAAAATTACATTGAATCCTTTTCACAATTAATCTAATTGAATTTACATTCTTCTTAACCATTTGGTGTGTATAAAATTATATATTGAAAATCATTCTCTTATTTGTCTCTCTTTCTTTTTAATTTCTATGTATAGAATGTATTTGAATTTGATTGAGCGCCAAAAAACTCTTTGGACTCTGGAGATGAAGATGAAGGTAATTGTTGAACTTTAAGTGATCCACTTTGATCGTCGACCTCATTGGTACTTGAATTGATGGCGAGCATTAATAGTAAAGCTTTTCCATGTGTCCGCTCAGTCTGATAATCAGAGGGAAATATTACAAAAGTTAAGAAATTAATTGTTTGGTGTAACATAATCCAATCAAGAAATGATTAACTCACCTTTAAGATGAACTTGAGAAATGGTAAAGCATCTTGAGGTTGATCCTCCTTGTACAATAGTAATGCCATATTGAATAAAGCCTCAGTGAAATTTGGTTTCAACTAAAGGGGAAAATAAAACAACAATCAATTGATTATTTGGACTAGATGGAAAATTGTTTCTTTATTGTTAATTAACGATCAATTGGTTGTATGTGAATCGAATCACATGCTACATTCACTTTGATTGTCCACTTCGTAGTGACCTTTTTCATTAACCTTCTTTACCTTTCTAAATATTGATAGAATCAATAGTTTAGTGGACAAAGATAATGGTCAATTGTTGAGTGAAAATTTTCAATAGGATAAGTGGTCAGTTTTATGTTATCATAATTTTACATTCTATATTTACCTCGATCGCTTTGGCGAAATGTTTTCTTGCAGTGGCCATTGATCCTGACCTGATGGACAGCATTCCCAGGTCAAAGTAAACGGTTTCATCTGCTTTACCCATTGAGACAAGAGTCTCGAGTCTTTCAATTGCAATTGTTAAATAGTCACCAATTAATTCATTATCTTTAATTATTCGAGCTGATGTTGATAAAGTTTCCTGTCAAAGATGAGAGGATGAATAGGAGATGATGATAAAAGATGAAGAGACAAAAGATAAGTGTTGATATAAAGATACTTGAAAAAATGCTAGGCAGCCAAATGATAATAATCAGGAGGTTGGAAAAGTTATGATAATAAAGACAAAGTTCAATGAGATGAAAGTTTCAAGGTGAAAAATATGATCACTTACTTGATGATAAGGATCAATTTTAAGAATTTGATCAAATAAATTGAGAGCATTTTCAAGGTTTCCATTGTTATTGAATAATATCGCCATCTAGATGGATGGAAAGTAAATAATAAAATTGATTCCGAATGATTAATTAATCGGTGAATTGTAATCCACAAAGTGTATCATTATCATCAAAGTAATTTAAACCAATATATTATTTAACAAATTGGAGATATGGAGATAAATTGTTATCATGATAATTTTGATTTGATTGATTGCACATTTACACGGATCAAAATGGTTATGATAAATGCTTAAAGTTCAATAGATTAGCATGATAAGATTTTGACTTTCAACTCGAGGAGATATTAATAAATGAATAAAGGTAATGATATATATAGATATTCATGAATATATTTTATGAATTATGATCAGTTGACTTTTTACTGAGTTCAATAATTTAGCCAGAGGGTTTATACAATTGAGAAGAAAGGTAAAAGTTTATCATTATCATTGGAAACTATTGGGTTAAAGTGACTTGAGTAAGATGCTGCTTTTTGGAAATAGACGACAAAAGTAAACGAAGAAAGATAGAGAAAAGGACGACAGATAAATAGACGGATAGAGGAAGACAAAGATTCTCTGTGATTCTTGTTATTGAATTGCAATCACTTCTGAATCTTATCTTCTGAACGATTCTGTCTGAATGGAAAGAAAGATAATGGAAAAATCTGAAAGAAGGAAAAAGTTACCTGGATAAATATGCAAATAACTCTTCAGCTAAGAAACTCCAATTCTCTGGGTAACCTTTAATCTAATAGACAGTTTCATGGTTCAAGAAAGAAAGAAAGAAAGAAAGAAAGAAAGAAAGAAAGAAAGAAAGAAAGAAAGAGAGAAGGAGGTTTGAGTAAGAGATGAGAGTTAATAAAGAAGTTCATTGTATTCATATGAGCGAAATTTTCGAGCGAATCAATTGGAATCCAAAGTTAATTGTATTTTCTAGAATGGATTAAATAAAAAAGTAAAAAATGTTTAAATTTACATGGAAACAGCAATCAAGTTCATGATATGTTCCATATATACTTGTATTTTATTCTGATTCATATTGAGTCTTTGGTGGCTTAGGTGATCAAGTTTCTCTCAATGTTTATATCACCAGTAATTAAATTTGATTGCTTCATTAGCTATCAGGGTGAAATGTGTATCTGATTATCATTGGTTAGCTTTACATTGCTACTCTAGATTTCAATTCATCCTGATTAACTTGATTGTCTATAAGGCTAATCAGCTCATATTAAATTATTTTACTGAATTTAGAATCAAAATTTCTATGAATTAATGAGTCTATTGATTATTTCCAGTACTAACCACAACCAATAACCTTTCCTTAAATTTGATTAATAGTAATCAGAATAACTTTTCAGACTAAATTTTCAATTCATATGGTTAGTAATCAATATAAGTAAGTAAAAAAAAAGAATAAAAATTTTTTCATATTATTCATGATAATTCAGTTTCGTTACATCCTCCTGAGAAAAGGTGAGATGATGAGAAGAAAAAAAAGAACAGAAAAGAAAAGAAAAGGAGAGAAAAAAATTAGATTCTCTTCTTGAATATATTCCATTCCCACCAAATACCCTCTTTTCCACATTAACCCCCTGATCTCTTTCTCTCCCTCTCCATGCATTCATTAAATTCAATTGTAAAATTGATGTAACTTAATTAAGAATGAGGTTACCACTTTTTTCCAGGTCTACAAAGAATTCACTCTGAAAATGATAATAAAACTGCTAAACTTGTATTACTTTCGATTCAATTGAATTCAGAAAAGAGATTCAAATTTTCATGGTAACCAGAATATCGAGGAACAGGAAAATACAGACGAAAAACAATATTATCATTTCTCATTCGATTTTCATTCTCATTCTCATCAGAATTTGAATTTTTAATGAAATAATTTCCTCTAAATGATGATAATTTTCACAATTAAATTAAAAAAAGAAAGAAAAATTCTCCCTGCTTTCATGATAAGACTCAAAATTGTGCTGAAAATGAATTTAACGACCCAACTAACCAGAGATTCACAAGTAAAATGTAAATTTCATTTTGATTAATAATATAATCTCATGATTTAATAGATACAATTGATGAGAAAGAATCATTTTCATGATAATTGTAAAAAAATCCCATCAAATTGAATAAGATGAAATTTTATTCCTAATAAATTATAGTGATAATGATCATGATGATATTCATTGGTTGTTCATGAGTTTATCTGTCAGATAGTTTTGTGATTTTATTGCATTTCTTGCAAACAAATAACTATGGATAATGTTATCATCACCATGATTAGCATGAATCAGCAAAGGTATTATCATGATTATCACCTGAAAATTGAATGAGATCAATTGAAGCCTGAAAATTATGATCTTTTCGTGCCAAGAATTGATTCATTCTCTATTCTCAGATAATATCTCATGATAAATACTGTTACCATTATACTGATACTATCATGATGGCAGACAAAAATGTCACTCATCATTCCCAAGTGATAGAAATGTATAAAATATCATTTGAATACAGAACTTTTTTTTCACCTTCAATGTTGACAACAGAAGAAAAAATCATCATCATCATGAGCTTATGCAATTGAATATTGGATATTGTCATTGTCAGAATAATATCATGATGAAGGGAAGGGGGAAATACGACCTGATTTGTTTCCTATTCCATTGGAACATTGAACATTATTCTGACTTATCGAACTGAAGACTCATGAGAGAGAAGGTGATTATTTAGAAAATTATTACATATCAATAGTGACGATTAACGAAATGGAAAATTGCAACTAATATCCAAAAAACTTTCTATTTCCATTTACATGATTACAACAATTTTCACCAACGAAAAGCCTAAAAGTGAAAATTTTTCCCTGAATCTCTGAATCACTGAACAATTTGACATGATAAAACATGAACATGATCAACTTACTATTGATAATAATTCAAAGAAAAATACTTATTAAAGATCTGTTATCATTATCAGATGTGTCTCTCATTTTATCATCATGATAATGATCATCATCATGTTTGAATAGTTAAAATTTGCAAATGATAACATTTTAATATACGATTTTTTCTAGGAGAAGGAAAAAGTTGCTATTCAATTCCCATGTGAAATTATTCCCAAACTTTGGCTTCATCTTTCATCATCATCATCGTCGTCTAATGTTGTAATTTCATTTCATTCATGTCGCTTTGACTTCCTCATTTTCCACCCACTTTTCATCATCATCTTCATCTCTGTCTCTTCAAATGTAAATTAAACTTGATACATGATATATTAGGTTGACAGTTACCAAGAGACAGTTTTTCAGTTGAAACTTTTTTCTTACACCTTCAAAAGTAATAATATTATTATCATCACATGAACATATGAGTTACATGTAAATGACAATTTATTTATCATCATTATTGTTATCATTAGAAATCTCAAAATTTATGATATTTCATTTGTCTCATGGTTATTTCATAAAGATTATCACATGGTAATATTTTCCCTTTTCCAGGAAAAATGTTTAGGTTAATTGTGAATTTGGGTTCAATTGTTTCAACTTGAATTTTGATCTCATTTGATTTTATCAACGAGATAAACAGGAAACTTTTGCCCCTTTTGCTGAGAAATTAATTGCTTGGTTAATTGTGATTGTGATCTTGATGATTGTGCAAAGTTAATTAGGTTGGTTGATTAGAGTTTGTATTATTATGTTGCTGTTGTTGTTTGCATAATGAATGTAGAAATGATGAGAATGATGATGATGATGATGAATAATTGGAAAGGAAGGAAGGAAATGGAAATGAAAAAGTTTCTACTCTCTTCTATTCACAATTATGTTTAACTTTGGATGTTGATTGTTGATTGTAATAGATAAAGATAATACAATTGACCAAATGCAAAATTATTGTCCAAATATTGTATAAAAGGAGGAGGATGAGGAGGTGATGAGGTGGATGCAGGAAGAAGGATGAAAAAGAGGAGTGGGTATGAGTGAAAATCAAATGATGTTTATATAAATTACACAGTTGAATAGATAATAATCATCGAATCATAATAAGGTGTAGCAATATTTACTTTGATTGTCAACCCAAAGTGAGAGTTAAATATCATATTATGATCTGTCTTTCCCCATCCTCATCATGATGATCATCATCAGCTTGAGCTGTTTTTTTTCTTCTTCTTCTTCTTTCAGTGTATGATGATGAAAGATGAGCTGAGTGAATGTAAGAGATTCAAGTCAGAGCGTTTAAATGCATTTTCATGTGAATATTATGTAATCGACTGTTAATAAGCCATGACGAGCCGTGAAAAGATGATGAGACAGATGAGAATGAGACAAGTACAGATGATGAAAGAAATCATAATGATGAGGAAAAGGAGGAAGAGGATTGATGAAGTTTTTTTTTGTTCACCATCAGGCTGATTATGCATATGGTTGCTTTTGATACTTGATTCGATATACACAATGTAAAATAAGAAACAAAAAAGTGACAAAGATGAGAAGCGAGTGAGAAGGAGGAAACTGAGAAACCGAAGGGAAAACTTTGAGATGATGATAATGGATGATGATGCGGGAGAACTGAGGAAAAGTGATAATGATGAGAGGGAAAGATAAAGGACCAATTGATAAGGTAAGTGAGGAAAAGTCAGAGAGAGAGAGACAAGGATGATAAAGGGATGAGTGAGTAAACGTGGAAGAGAATAGACCAAATGATTAGATTAATCTTAGGAAGATAATCGTGAGGACAATAGTAATTTTCTTATTCTGTAAACACAACGGAAGAAGGGAAAAAAGATGCGGTTCCATAGACTCAATCAGTAAATTGCTTCTTCTAGTAAATTATTGGTAATATTATCCAATAGTCTAATCATCATCATCTTTTTCATTACAATTTAACTTTCGGTTATAAAGAAGAGTGATCTCTTCTCATCTTCTTCTTCCTGTATCCTGATGATAAAACGTGTGTGTCTGTCCATCGACAGGTCAGCAACATCCCTTGTGATCTTTATTTATTGATATGAGAATAGTCAATAATATCATTCATGAATTGACTTTATTAAGGTGAGGTGGGTAGATGAGAGGTGGGAGTGCAATTGACATGGGTTCATGTTCAGTTGTCATGATTATTGTCATAAATGAAATAACGGTAAATATAATTCAATTTTTCCGTTTAACTCTCAATGTATCAAATGTTAGCTAAATAAGATACAATTTCCAAGTGAATACAATTTGATTAGATTAATGACCAGCAATTAAGGGCAAGATTTTAAGACAATTAATTATTATCAAAATGAAAACTTTTGAATAATTTCTAATAGAATCTCGATAATGAAATAATCATAATGGTAGAATTGATTATCTTCACTATTTACTTGCTTAGAAATTTTTGCTATCAATCAATTACCATTAAGATAAATGGAGTTTCATTTAATACAATTCAGGTTGATTAAGCTCATCAATCTAATTTTGAATTAGTGATAATTAAAATTTTAACAACATTTACACCCAAGTAATTAATTCATTTGCAGCTAAGAAAATTGTTGTTGCATGAGATCATGAAATGATTCTTTGTCCATGAAATAATGGATGAGGATGAAAACTTTATTTTCTCATTATTTTATAAAATCTAAATTCTTAATAATATCAAAATTTTGAGAAGAAAATTTTATGATAATTTAACTTTGAAATAATAAGGAGACTTATTTATAAGAAATTATCATGATGATGATAAAGGATAAACTCAGAGGAAGCAAAGAGATGATAACGAGAGAGAGAGAGAGAGAGAGAGAGAGAGAGAGAGAGAGATTTAACAATGAAAGTGATAGAAGTCAATAAGATACAATGAAGATTTTGTGATAACAAATTAAGATGATGAAGAGTGCGGAAGACTAAGATGAGAATGGAAATGTATGATAAAGAAAAATGGACAATGGGATAAGATAAGCTGAAGAAAAATTCTGATGATTATGAGGAAGAAAGTTTTCTCTTCTAAGATTTGCTTCGCTATTCAATTCTAGCATTATCTTCTGATGCTATTGTGTTATTATAAACGGAAATGATTTGGACAGGGAAGTGGTGAGATGTTGAAGAGGGTGATGAGCGAGAGAGACAGAGGATCGAGAAAATCTTTGCATGAATGAAAAGAATTGAGAAAAAAATAGCAAAGAGGAAGTGGAAATACTAGAAAGATAATGGTACAACTACTGAAAAGAGAAAGAGAAAGTGAAAGAGATTAAGGAAGATGAAGGATTATCTCAATAGTTGATGAGGATGATAAACTTTTCCGAAACAAAGAAACAAAGTCAAACAGTGATAATGATGATAATGATGATGATGATGATAAGAGTGATAAACAATATAACTTACATTGTACAAAATATTTGGATCCGTTTGCTTATTGTTTAAGGTAAATTGAGATAAAATTGTTTCATCATTGAATTGATTACCATTGATGGTGGTTGCGTCATTATCGTTATCATTATGATTTTTGTTATTATTTACAGAACCAGCATTGATCATGGATTGAATCCATGTTGAATATGTTGCTGAATAATCTGGTCTCAGGGAGGCGATAGTTAGAAACATCCGATTGGCCTCATCAAGACGAGATTCATCTCGACTTATAAGTGAGGCATAATTAAGCAAACCCTGTAAATGATTTAATGTAATTGATGAAGATAAGTTGTTATCAGTTGTAATTGTTGTTGTTGTTTTTGATTCTTTCAAATTATCATCTTGATGATGACCATTAACAGCATCATTATAGTCTATCAGGTATAATCATTATGGTCAGTATTGGTCCCTTGGTTGACCAGTCTCTCATAAACAGGGAAAGATAACCTTCCAATTATTTTACTTTGATCAGTATTTTGTTGCTCAATAGGTTTATCAGCAATTAAGGAAGATACTGATGATGATGGAGTTGGCAGTAATGGCGCTGAAGATGAGGTCAACAGTGAAGATAATGAGTGAAAGTGATGACCTTGAAGAAAGTGATGCAAGGTATGAATTTGCTGACAACTTATCCACAGGTAAGGGATCAATATTTTCAGAAATATCATTTGAATTTTTGAGAGGTGATGTTGACCTGCTTGATTTTGGTATCAAATCCAACGCTTTACGGTAAAACATTTCCGCTTCCGGTAAACGTCCGATTTTGGTCAATGCTTTACCTAAATTCAGGTAGCCTCGAACATCATCTGGCTCAATTGTAACTGATTTCTCATAGTAACTTAAAGCCAAAGCAAGATTACCTTGATCCTCGTATAATCTGCCAACATTGTTCAATAGTTTCACATTACCTGGATTAACATTCAACCCGGAAGTAAATAATGATAACTCATTTTTCCTGATGAAGAGAAAAGAAAATCAAAAATCAATTTGAAAATCAATGACAAGATTCAATCAATAATAGCAAAATAGTTTATCAATTTTCCATGATAATTGTAGTTAATTGTTGTCTCAATCAATTGAGAATACATCAAACTATTAATGCAGTAATGATGATCAATTCCCATAGGTAGCATATACTGAATCAAATTGATATTGATTGGAATTAGTAATATTAATATGAAAGTCAGCATGAAAATGATTATCATGATTGAAATGTTCAAATGAACAAGTGAGAAAAAAAAGTTCTGATTCATTGCCTGAGTTATATTTATATATTGAATTTACAAAATTGAAGGTTGATTGACATGAAAATGAATAAAACTTGGAGTATTATTATCACCATGTAAAAGTTTCAGCTTACCCTGGAAAAATGTTTATCAGGAGAAAATTTCATCAGAATAATTCAGAAGGAAAAATATCAAAACGTTTTCCTAACTACTCAAGCTTGATGAAAATTTTGTCTTATCAATCTTTCCCCTTATTTGTATCCAAAATTCAGAGTTAACTTGTAGCATCGGTTGTCATGGAAACCTTGTTATCAATTCTCAATATTTCCTAGTTCATTTTGGGAAGATCAGCGATTTTTTCTCTCTCTCTCTCTTTACTGATATTTCTCATCATTTTTTTCTCATCATCATTGTCATGTTGATAAAAATTCAGAGTCGACAAGACATCAATCTTTTACATGTCACCTGATATTCATTATGATGAAAATTGTTCCCAACGAAAAAAAAATGACGAAAAGAAGACAGAATATGAGGAAAAAAAGTAGCATCTTTTTTATCATCTCAATTTTTACCAATCATCTTATCACTCAATCAAAGGGATCTGAGTATTCATCATGCATCTTTATTATCGTCATCATTATCATCATCAAAAAGTATCATTGATAAGTCGATTGGATTCAAAGTCTACATGGTAAAAGATTGAAACTACTACAATTGTGACCAAATCAATGGACAATAGTAAATGCAAAGCAAAGCAGAAAATAAAGTAACATGAAAACGAATCAAGCTACAAAAATGATTCACAATCTCCACTGAATATCAACATTTTCCTCGGAACTTTTTTCCTCTTCATTTCTTTCAAATGAAATAACAATCGAACTGCAAAAAAAAGTCATCAATTGTATTAATCTAACACCAACTAAATAGTTAACAATATAAACATTTCATTTCACAGAAAATTGTTGTTTTTCAAATGATTTTATCTCAAATTTATAATAGACACATAATAAGAGCTTGGAACAGCTAAAAAACAATAAAGTTAGTGTCAAAATTGATGTTTCTTTGGCTTTGGTTTGATATATAAGATTGGGAGTAGAAAATTTCAATCATAACAATATTATTTATTATCGTTCAATTGTTTATCAACCTGCTCATAATCAACATAAAACTCAAAAAACATCATTGACAATTTGTCATTCTCATTGATTGTTAACCGCTTACCATTAGCTTGATGGACTTTTTTGTAGTACTAAAAATCAATTAACTTACCATTCACTACAGCGGTGGGTTGTTTTGATTGTTAAACTTGATAGGAATACGATTGTGAGCAAATAAAATGTTAATTGTATCCATCTAATTGTTAAAGGAAAAGAGAAAGAGAAAGTGAAAGAGATTAAGGAAGATGAAGGATTATCTCAATAGTTGATGAGGATGATAAACTTTTCGAAACAAAGAAACAAAGTCAAACAGTGATAATGATGATGATGATGATGATGATGATGATGATGATGATGATGATGATGATGATGATGATGATGATGATGATGATGATGATAAGAGTGATAAACAATATAACTTACATTGTACAAAATATTTGGATCCGTTTGCTTATTGTTTAAGGTAAATTGAGATAAAATTGTTTCATCATTGAATTGATTACCATTGATGGTGGTTGCGTCATTATCGTTATCATTATGATTTTTGTTATTATTTACAGAACCAGCATTGATCATGGATTGAATCCATGTTGAATATGTTGCTGAATAATCTGGTCTCAGGGAGGCGATAGTTAAAACATCCGATTGGCCTCATCAAGACGAGATTCATCTCGACTTATAAGTGAGGCATAATTAAGCAAACCCTGTAAATGATTTAATGTAATTGATGAAGATAAGTTGTTATCAGTTGTAATTGTTGTTGTTGTTTTTGATTCTTTCAAATTATCATCTTGATGATGACCATTAACGGCATCATTATAGTCTATCAGGGTATAATCATTATGGTCAGTATTGGTCCCTTGGTTGACCAGTCTCTCATAAACAGGGAAAGATAACCTTCCAATTATTTTACTTTGATCAGTATTTTGTTGCTCAATAGGTTTATCAGCAATTAAGGAAGATACTGATGATGATGGAGTTGGCAGTAATGGCGCTGAAGATGAGGTCAACAGTGAAGATAATGAGAGTGAAAGTGATGACCTTGAAGAAAGTGATGCAAGGTATGAATTTGCTGACAACTTATCCACAGGTAAGGGATCAATATTTTCAGAAATATCATTTGAATTTTTGAGAGGTGATGTTGACCTGCTTGATTTTGGTATCAAATCCAACGCTTTACGGTAAAACATTTCCGCTTCCGGTAAACGTCCGATTTTGGTCAATGCTTTACCTAAATTCAGGTAGCCTCGAACATCATCTGGCTCAATTGTAACTGATTTCTCATAGTAACTTAAAGCCAAAGCAAGATTACCTTGATCCTCGTATAATCTGCCAACATTGTTCAATAGTTTCACATTACCTGGATTAACATTCAACCCGGAAGTAAATAATGATAACTCATTTTTCCTGATGAAGAGAAAAGAAAATCAAAAATCAATTTGAAAATCAATGACAAGATTCAATCAATAATAGCAAAATAGTTTATCAATTTTCCATGATAATTGTAGTTAATTGTTGTCTCAATCAATTGAGAATACATCAAACTATTAATGCAGTAATGATGATCAATTCCCATAGGTAGCATATACTGAATCAAATTGATATTGATTGGAATTAGTAATATTAATATGAAAGTCAGCATGAAAATGATTATCATGATTGAAATGTTCAAATGAACAAGTGAGAAAAAAAAGTTCTGATTCATTGCCTGAGTTATATTTATATATTGAATTTACAAAATTGAAGGTTGATTGACATGAAAATGAATAAAACTTGGAGTATTATTATCACCATGTAAAAGTTTCAGCTTACCCTGGAAAAATGTTTATCAGGAGAGAAAATTTCATCAGAATAATTCAGAAGGAAAAATATCAAAACGTTTTCCTAACTACTCAAGCTTGATGAAAATTTTGTCTTATCAATCTTTCCCCTTATTTGTATCCAAAATTCAGAGTTAACTTGTAGCATCGGTTGTCATGGAAACCTTGTTATCAATTCTCAATATTTCCTAGTTCATTTTGGGAAGATCAGCGATTTTTTCTCTCTCTCTCTCTCTCTCTCTCTTTTACTGATATTTTCATCATTTTTTTCTCATCATCATTGTCATGTTGATAAAAATTCAGAGTCGACAAGACATCAATCTTTTACATGTCACCTGATATTCATTATGATGAAAATTGTTCCCAACGAAAAAAAAATGACGAAAAGAAGACAGAATATGAGGAAAAAAAGTAGCATCTTTTTTATCATCTCAATTTTTACCAATCATCTTATCACTCAATCAAAGGGATCTGAGTATTCATCATGCATCTTTATTATCGTCATCATTATCATCATCAAAAAGTATCATTGATAAGTCGATTGGATTCAAAGTCTACATGGTAAAAGATTGAAACTACTACAATTGTGACCAAATCAATGGACAATAGTAAATGCAAAGCAAAGCAGAAAATAAAGTAACATGAAAACGAATCAAGCTACAAAAAGTGATTCACAATCTCCACTGAATATCAACATTTTCCTCGGAACTTTTTTCCTCTTCATTTCTTTCAAATGAAATAACAATCGAACTGCAAAAAAAAGTCATCAATTGTATTAATCTAACACCAACTAAATAGTTAACAATATAAACATTTCATTTCACAGAAAATTGTTGTTTTTCAAATGATTTTATCTCAAATTTATAATAGACACATAATAAGAGCTTGGAACAGCTAAAAAACAATAAAGTTAGTGTCAAAATTGATGTTTCTTTGGCTTTGGTTTGATATATAAGATTGGGAGTAGAAAATTTCAATCATAACAATATTATTTATTATCGTTCAATTGTTTATCAACCTGCTCATAATCAACATAAAACTCAAAAAACATCATTGACAATTTGTCATTCTCATTGATTGTTAACCGCTTACCATTAGCTTGATGGACTTTTTTGTAGTACTAAAAATCAATTAACTTACCATTCACTACAGCGGTGGGTTGTTTTGATTGTTAAACTTGATAGGAATACGATTGTGAGCAAATAAAATGTTAATTGTATCCATCTAATTGTTAAAGGAAAAGAGAAAAAGAGAAAACAATTAATTGTTAATTAGTTGTTGATCCAATGCTCTGAAATGATTATAAACATTGTCAAGTCTGTAAACCTTTTGAATTTCATTGATGTGATTGGATATGATTTATTTCTGATTCCTTGTGAATTCAATTACATTATATTGAATGTTCAATACGATTCAGTGAACAATCATGTCAATTTTTTTCCAATCTCGCTTATTCATCGGGCTGATTATCATGAATGAACTTTTCTTTCATTTGGTAAACGATTATCATGATAAAGATATCCAATGATACATATATTTGGGAATCAAATTTCATTTTCTTATGAGTTTTGGTCCTTTAGTTTCATTTTATTTCGTTTGTAAAACTTTCAAACTTGACAAAATAAAGTTCTGACTATTCCCATGATGACCTATTCAAATCAGATTGATTTATTAAATGATGTTATCCAAAGACTATAGTATTGAAATAAACATTTAGCAACTTGAATTAAATGGTAAAAAAGTGTCAACAGACTCAGAATTCAATCCGAGACATGATTTGATAGTCAAAACATTCAAGTTTACACCGGGAACCAGGATATGAAATTATGACTCAAAGTACTGAACTGAAGCTGAATTGATTTCATACTCGATGATTAATATTATTTATTTTATTCAATATATATATAAAATAACAGAGATTTAGACAATCATGGAAATCGGATATTGATAAATGTCACTTTATATTTTTCAGTTGAAATAAAGGAAATGAAAAAGTTACCTCAAGAGTTGATAAAATATTACAAAGCCTCAAAGACTAGAATATTGAATATCTAAAGCTCAATATTCTCAAATGAAAGGTACATGAAGAAGTGAAAACTAAATGACCATTCCAATGAGTAAGATAATTACCTCAAGTCTTTTGAATTATCTTGATGGTCATTCCATCATAATAGCTGTCGTTTTGTAAGAGGTGATAATGTGTCAAAGATAACTTTCCCCAGAAGCTCAGTTGAATCTCATCTCCCTCATAAATGACTAACGGTAAATGGTCAGTAAAAAAACTAATAAACTAAAAGTTATCACATTACCTCAATATTGTAGAGACATTTGAATTTGCATTTTCCATGAAAGAAAAAAATTACCATGATACTCAGAGTCTTCACATAATCACCAGAATCATGGCTCTTTCTCTCTCTCTCTCACCTTCTCTATTGCTCCAAGCAGATAGATGATAAAAATACATAGTGTTTTCTATTGCATATTAAAAATGAGAAACTTTTTTCCGCTCTGCCTTTTATCATCATCTCCTCACCCTAACCCACCCATCGCTATCATGATGATTACAATAACAGTAATATGGTTGGAAATACTTCTATCAATTTTCACCCTTCAATGAATGAATATTATTATTATTGAGCTTTTTATTTCTCATCTTATTACCATTTCTTATGGTTCCATAGGTTTTCTTTGTAAAAGGAAGAAAAGTGAAAATTCATTTTCACACATTTCCTTTTCCACCTCACTGTTGATTCACCAGCTACTCTCTAATTTCCACCCTGGCTTCTTGTTAGCCTCCAATAATTTTCCATCGCCATCCATAAGCTTCTTTCTTTCATCTTACTGTTGCTTAATAGCTACAAAGCTCTAGTCATCATTAGCTTCATCTTCAAGCTTCCACTGAATATAAAACTAATACATCAAACCAGCAAAGAAGCCACTTCGAGAACACTGAATGTTCAATAGTAAAGTTTCAAGATAGAAATGGATTGCTAGTCAGAACTTGAATATTTCTAAGTAATAAATACATTTAGTAATCTACCTGAGGATGTGAAAAGTAAATATAAAAAGAAACTGATATAATCATGAAACCATTGAAATTAATAAGTAATCAAAGGGCTAATCTTCATGAAATTATCACGAACATGAGAAATCTACTAATTCAATAAATCTCACTTTTCTTTCATCCAGATGATAATTAATATCAATGATTGGCATCCTTTCATCATCCTCATCCAATTATTGAATGTGAACATACATCTACTATTACATGGAAACCTTTCATCTTGATCATATTTTGTTAGCATTTACATGGAATCATCATCATGGATAATATTTATTCACTCATTTCATTCATTTACAATTTATTATCAACATCATGGTTAACATTTTCTTCACCTCCTATCATCAAACTAATACATTCGTGATCATCATCATCCTCATCAGTATAATTGAGATAAATACAGATTCCAATGTAAGAAAAAAACTGATAATAATAATGATAATAATTCAATACTATTCAATTAATAACATACAATCAGAAAGTGTATTTACCTTTGGTTATTGTTGGTTCAATGTTATTTACTGTTACCACTTTTATCATTCTGATAACAATCACTCAGACACTTAACTGTATTTGCATTTTAATTGAATACACATTCTGATATAATAATAATAATAATAATACAACAGTATAATTGAATCAAGCTGAATGCTCATTGTGTCTAAACTGAATGTGTCTGCATGGGTATGCATAAAAGTTTATTGTTTTCTATTGCATTGTCTTCATCATGCAACAACATTTGTGTAACAAATTCAATTCAATTTTAACAGTAAATTGTTGCCATGATATTATGATTAGACAGGAATTAAATTGCATCATGTCAACACTAACTGTTTCTGTATGTATGTATGTGTGTGTGTGTGTGTGTTGTATGAACACAAGAAAATTCAAATTACATTGGTAACAATCAACTTAAAGAGTGAGGGAACCAAAACAATCAAGAAATTAATAACAATCAAGGAGAGGGAAGGAAAAAGTTTTTCACTTGCATTATTTTATCATGTTATCCCTTCCTAGTTTTTCAGGGTAAATATTGTTCATAATGATGATAATGTTTATAAACAGAATTGAAAAGTAAAAATTTAATTGAATTTACAGTTAACAAAACAAAAGTGTCAAATCAACAGTTGTAATTGTTGTGAGCAATGGATGATGATGATGAAGTCGAGGAAAATGTTGGAGTGGATTGAGTAAGATGAGAGTGATTCAGTTAAATTTGAAATTTGTTATTAAATTAATTTTTTTCGCCTTCGATTTTATGTCACAATTGATAATGTTCATGTTTATCATCATTATCTTATCGAAAGTTTTATTCTTTATTAAATTAAATTTTGATCCTCTCAAAGTAATGAAAATTGTTATTCTTAATCAGTTTAAGTTATTAGAGTTAAATTAAAATTGAAGGTGATCACAATCAATTAATCAGGTAAGATTATCGATTGATCAATAGTTCATCAGATGAACTATTGATTTTCCATGAGAATAAGTGAATTCCAATCAATGAAATTGCAGATATTTCATACCATAAATCATTGAGTAAACATTATCAATAGTAAATCAATGAATTTACATCGAGAGTTTTTTTTGGGTGAAAAAATTGTGAATAAAACTATGATTATCACTTAATCTTTATCGAAGATTATCTCAGTGATTTTGAGATAGAAAGAGAAATTGATTTCTTATCATCAATTGATATTTGAATATGAGTATTAATCTGGTTACATGAATGATGATAATCAGTGAGATTATCATAAAAGTGATGACAGTTTATCTGTAGTTCTGATAACCTTCAAGATGATTAGCTTGTGTATTCATATAGTATTTGTTGTGAGTATTTAGAGTTAATTTAGCTACAAATATAAAAGATTTATCAACAGTTTCTATGGAAACTGTGACAACGATTAAAGAGGATATAATGATAACAAGAAAATGTGACGAAGTTGATCAAGAGAGGGTTTTAAGGATGAGGATGGAGATGGAAAGTGTAGAGGAAAGGGAAATGATTGCATTAGCGATTAAGTCACAATTAAAGTGATTAGTATCACTGTTTAATGGATTCAACATTGGAAACAACATTTCAACAATAACAAAAGCAACAAAATGCAATCTAAATTAAAGTAATTAACAACACTTTATCCATCTTGCTCATCTTCACTATTCAAGATGATGATAACATCCTCATCATTATTACAATTGTATTATAGCAATGCAATTGTAATTATCAGTTAAATACAATAAACAAGTGAAATTAATTGTCTCCACACTTAAAGTTAGTTTCATTCATTAAATTGATTATTTGATTGTAACAATCATCATGATCTTGAGGTCAATTGAAGCCTAGACACTTAAGATGCTGATAATGGATGAAGAGTGAGCCAAAAAATACACTTATCAATATGCAAATTGTTAAGGTTATTTAGTTAATTGTTTCAACAGTTAGATGATTTTCATCTTGTGTAGTTAATGAGCTTAAATTTCATGGTGAATAACAACAGGAAAGAAGATTAAGTTTCAAGGGTTTCATTCATACAAAAAAAACAAGAACATGATGATAAGTAGATGATATTATCATCATTAGGAACTGAGAATGATAATTTAAGAGCTCACTTAATTTCATAGACTTTATCATCAGCTGAAAAAAAAATATAAATCACTACAATATAATTATTATCATGAGTAAATAATAGTTATTAGTTTGTATTAGGATGAAAGGATTGAGAAAAGTTCATTTTGTGAAAATCAATGAAATCAGATTGAAATTTGAATGTTAATTGTTTACAGATTGACAGTTGATTAAATCACTTACCTTTTACTTTTGATGATAATTGATGAGTAAAGTAAAATAAACCCTCGGGCAAGTATCATTGAGAAACCCATTGATGGTAAATATAAAACCCTTTCAGCGATAACAAAACCCACCGGGAAAAATATATTGGATACGGGTAAAAATGTGATCACCATGAATCCCATTGCCTATGATTAAATTTAATTATTACAAATATAGAATTAGTATAATTTAATGAAATTAGTGAATAAGGTTCACCATCATATTGGGAATTCAAGATTTCGGGTTAGCTTCAATGGGCTCTATAGATATTGAGATCATCTCTTACAAAATTAATCATTTGAATACGGAACAACATTGGGATTTGATCAGTTAGATTATGGATTCTTGAATCATCATCAAAGTACGTGTAGTAACACCATTTACAATTCCTTCATTGAAAGTTGAATTCATCATGAAATCATCTATCCAACGGAATTGGAAACCATGGAAAAGTATTAATAGTCTAATCTTTTCATTTCCGATTTCATTCAGAATCCAATTTATAATGGAATCGAATTTCTCTCTCTCTCTCTCTCTGCTGCAAAATACCTTAAATTGAAATAACATTTATTTCATTTCCGTTTCCATTTATCATAAAATCTCATGTAACCTGAAATTATTATTGGGTTAATATGGTATTTGTTCAACTTGTTCCATCAAATTTTCATGTTTAATTTATATCTTCATGTTGATGGTGATTAAATATGTTGATTGTTTATCTAGATTCCTAGAGTTGATTATCTATACTGCTTAGGTTGTAATTGTTATTGGATAATAATCGATTTAATCAGATTAAATTGTTTCTATCATTAAATTTTCACTTCTATTTACTGTTTATATTAAATTAAATTGATTATCAATTATCTAGATCAGCGATTTGTTTGGATGATCAATTTGTTTCACAAATGTTAACATTACAATTAAAGTCATGATAACAGTAATAATATTTTATGATAACTCCTGGCAGAGAAAAAGAGGAAAACTGAACAGCTGACCAATGGTCAAGTAAATACTACATTATAAGTCTCACTGGGTGGTTGGTTGGTTAGGATAATATAATCATCAATATCGACAATTGTATCATTAGTTAGGATTTTAAAGGTTATTTGAAAATCAGTGAATTCAACCATGTTTTTGTTGTCAATTAACTGAACTGAATTCAATTGTGTTTTTGATAAATAGATTTAAAAGAAAGTAATTAAAGCATCTAAGGAATGAACGGAAACCGGAAATGTAAATTAGAATCACTGAAAACAGAAAGAGGAAATAAAAATTTTATTCTTCGGTTAAAATTTTCTCCTCATGAAATTTTGGACAGAATTTTGATTTGAAAATCTAGATTCATGATCATCTCTCTTTCTCCTTCATGATGGAAACAAAACTTTTTCTCACAACATCTCTAGAGAATTTGAATACAATAAAGGATTACGAGGATACTGTTAATAATAAAAAGGAAGAAGGAAATTACTAAGACTATTTGAAACTTAGAATACAGAGATAAAGATATGAATGACCACCGGTCAGAGAATGAAAAAAAAGAGAAGTTGAAAGTTCTTATTAATAATATTATCGCACATTAAGAGTCAGTTTATTGGGAATTTTATCTTTCAAATAACTAAACTGAAACACAGTTGATATTAGAAATGATATTGAACAAAGTTAGGATGAACAGAAAGATAAAGAGTGAAAATTGGAACTGAATATGAACGGTAGGATCTGGAGATGATCTGATTTTATCATGTAACATTCAGAGAGTTTTTCATGTGTTAGAATTCAAATTGAGTTGTAATCGATGAGGGAAAATTTTTCGTTTTCTTAACTAATCGTTGAAGTTTCATCATTAAGGATAATTATCGCTGATATGTAAGAATAATCAATTTAGAAATAATTATGGTTCTTAATTATCTGATGATCATTAAGGTTATCTAAAGGTTGTTCATGAGGATTATCATGCAGCTCATCAACTCCACCTTATCACTAAGAATCATTAGTTGCAAAATATTGTTATAGATTTAATTGTTTTTCTTGATTATCTTTTTGTTTTTGTTGGTAATTAAGGTTTATCTCTTTGTTGTTTTAAGATTTTCCTTGAAAATGGAGCTAAAATTCAGTTTCAAGATAATCATCATCTTATAAATTCTGAGTGTATGAGTTGCAATTAAAGTAACCAGAGATTGAGCAATTTTCTCCCAAAGCTTAATGATCATCCTGTGATGGAATCAGAATCTTTCATTTCAACAGACATGATGATGATGATGATGATGAATTTCTTTTTATTTCATCATTATCATCATGAGAAAAGTCTGAATTTCCATCATTTTCATCATACTTTTCCATGATGTTGATCGTTATTGGCTTTGACTTTGAGCTTCCGGCTCTGAGGTTTTCCGGCTTTGGATAACATTTAATTAGAACGTTGATAAAATGAAGATGATAATGATGAGCTCATGTAATGGTTAATAAGATGAGGATGATACCAATATGCAAGAAGAAGAGAAAAGTGAAAGAGAAAAGAAGAGCAAAAAAAGTCTTCCAGTTCCAAGGAATTGATAAAGAGAAAAGATCAGAACACAAAGAATAACAATATAATAAGGATGCTAGTGTTTTAGATGATGAGCACCAAATGATTATCATGATGATGGAGAAAAAAGAGAAAACTAACTTTGGAAGAGGAAGAGAGAGGATGATTAGTATATACTCGACTGGTTCATTTAACTCTGATTCTGATGAGGAAATAAAAGTAAACTGTAGATACAAATGCAGCGATAAAGATTGACAGAAATGGTTATCAGTGCACAAGAGAGTTAATCATCATCATCTTATGTAGAAATGCCTTCGAGTGATGCCAACTGATGGAAAAGATGAGGATGCGAATGAGAGAGAAATAGATGAATAAACTTTCATTCATAGTTATTAAATTACCTAAATTAAATCTTGAATATTATTATTAATATCTCCAAGATGGATATAGATCATTCATTGAATCATTGAAAGATAATCTTGTAGAGGATTAAGAGTCGGAGTGATGATGATGATGGTGAACAAGATGAAAATAATATTATGAGTATTACTTACCATCCAAGTGATTGTATCACCTTTCAATAGGATAACTGTTAATGAGATGAATAGTAAAAGTGTAAGGATATTTTTTGGATCAATCAGTGAGACGATTAGTTGAATTGATGTTGATGACCAATCACATGATAGATTGACCGGATAAAGTAAAAGCCAACAATTATAAGACCAAATAAAAGCATAGTTAAGCTGTCGATAAGGTGATGTTAATATACGAGCTGGATTATCTAGTCTGTAAAAAGATTGGATTGAAAAACAGAAACAATCAGATTAACGGAAATGATTAATCAGAGTGATATAAATGAAAGGGATAATTGTCAAGTTAAATTTTGTACTTTCAATTAATATTTTCCATGTTATCAACAATTAATATCACATATTGAAGAGTAAAAATTACTATCAACTTGTTATCAAAAGGGATTTCTAGTTAATTGACATGTACAGATAATCATCTTAATCTTGTGCTGGGTGTTAATCCAATTCATCAAATTTACTGATAAATTAATCATGAAAATGTTGATATTTATTGGCTGATACAATTAGAGAGTTTGGCTTTTGTCAAGTAAAAAGAGATATTTTCAATTGAGTTTGATGGTCAACGGTAATTAAATTAATAAATAGACTTGAATGATGATGGTGAAGATGTGAAAGGTTATCATCATGATGATCATTATTATTATTAGTGATGAGGTAGATATAGTCATCCTCGTCATCTTCATTATCCCTTGAGGGTGTAAGAAAATGAAAACCATTTACAGTTATCATTTGGGTTAATGAGATTTAATCTCATTCTGAGTTTACAACCTACAACTATGCCACACCCTTTAATATTGGATCTTGATCATGATTCTGTCGATAACAATTTACCTGCGATATCATCATGATTATCATCATCTTCATCTTGATGAGAGTTTAATAAGACAATGTCATTGACAATAAAACATGTTATCACTTATTGCTTTTGATGATAAACAAGATAAACTTTCATCTTAATTTATATCACTATCATAGACTACAGAGTAAGTGGATTGAGAGAGAGAGAGAATCGTGTTTATTTCATCATTTGATGAAGCGAAACTTGAGTTTCCACATTCATGATAATCTCATATCTTTCACTTTAATCTCTATGATGCCTGCGGCACTTATGGAATGAGCCTCATTCTCAATATAAGAAAAAGGATAAAAAAATGAGACTAACATAACAAGAATCAACAGAATCATCATTAACAATCTGCTCTAAATTACTCATCTTTTTTATTGGTCATCTTTTTTTCCTTCAATGATACTAATGATAAGTCATCAGGAAGCTTAATCCTTTTCTTAGCCATCATCAATTATGAATTCAAGGTAATATCACAAAAATATTATCATTAACCAGAATCATTATCAGATTTATGTCTTGATGGTCATCTTGATGATGATCATTCTTACTCTAATCACATATTCTGGATAATGATCTGAATCGTTGATGAATTTTCATCATAACTTTTGCTACCATCATCATGAGATTATCATGATAATGATAATGATCCAAGATTTACCGTTGTTTGGATTATATTTATCAATCGTTTGCAGAAAAAAAAAGTTCAATTGAAAATCAATGATATTTACAAATTCGATCAACTTAATCACGTTCAATTGTCTTCACCTTTTCCATAATACACAATTGAACCTTTTTTGAATTGAAAATTAGTTCGACTAATGGTAGGTAAGATAATAAAATCGTCATCTTTGATTGAATCAACTTTGATAATCGTTTGATTGTTTTCTCTTATTTGTAAATCAATGGGCTGAAGACTAAAATAATCTGGACAAATAGCATCGTGAGAACAGCATGAGGTTCATGGTAAGATGAAAAAAATAGATGTTCCAATTGGCCACCTAAGAGATATTATAATTGAGCTAATACTTATTAAAAGTTCCTGGCGATGAATGATTGTGAATACAGAGAAATCAGTAATTCATGTTGGGAATTTTGATTAAAAATAGAAATTGAAAAATCAATTAATCATTGCACTGTATTGATTGATTGTTACTATTAAATCATTAAAGAGTATTAATCAAATTATGATTACCTTAATTAGACTAATTTTGTCAACGATCATGAATATCCCCCTGATTTCATGATTATTTTCACGAAAGATAAAAAAACTTGCAACTTTTTTTCATCAACTTGACATTTCAGCTAATTGATATTTTAGCTTAACAATTAACTTTTTTTCCCTCATCTACTTATCCAGTCCACCCTGTTTTCTCAATCTTAATCTATTCCTAATGAGCAGGGTAGAGTCAGAAGTGAATTAACAACGAATTGATAAAAAAATCCGAAGACTTTTTCTCTTGATTTTGATTATTTAACAATTAGGAAAATAATGAGCTTTATAATGATGATGAAGGTGGAGGATAAAACCTCCCAATCTTCATCAAAGTTTTACTAAGAAACAACTAATTGAACTGAACAAACTCTTGGATGGAAAGGAAAAAGGAAGATGATTAGTAAACATGATTAACTGAAAATAATTAAATTGTTAACAATTAATGACTATATTTTTTTCTGAACAATTTCTCTTGTTTACATATTTCATGGGAGAATGAAAAAACTTACAATATCGCCATTTTCCAATCTAATCATAAGATCAAAGGTGAATTATTTTTCACATTCTCATAGGAATTCAATTGGAAATCAACTAATGCTGAGAGTTAATCGTTATTGGAATCGTAATTGAATAGCCAATTGGAAGTGTTAATAATTATTTTATTAATTTCTTGATGATTATGCTCATGCAAACTTCTGGTAACTACTCATGACTATGTTTGAGAAATTATTATCAAGTTAATATTTACATTTCCAGTGAATTTTAAACTGAATTCAAATGATAATCATCATGAGAATAATGGTTGGGGTGGTAACATGAAAAATACTGATAAATCTTGAGTAATCATGAATAAGATAATGAATTTATCTTAGGATTGAATCAATTCCATAATAGTAATATAATGAATTCTCAATTTCATGATAGTAAAAATTTTTTACCTGGTATACTTAATGATGATTATTAAAAGCGATTTGACATAATCATGATGAAACTATTCAGTTGCATGATTAAGTTAAACTCTTTCAAATATATTTTAACTGTTTTCTTACAACTTTTAACCATATTTCATGATGAAATATGAAACACATTATGAAAAACGATATAAAAACTCAGTCTGATAGGCATTCAAAGATAAACAACTTTTGAATATGAATTAGATACATGATAATCAGAGACTTCTTATCAGCTCAAGTTCATGAAGATTTACCTGAATTAATTAATATTCATGAATATGGCCAAAGGTGATCTTTCAGGGAAAATGGAATAAAGATGAAATTCTTGATAAAAAAGTTCATCACAATTCATAAAACCACAGGATGATAATAAAGATAATAGATGAAGCTGTTTACTCATTTTTTCTGCTTATTTTCACCCATTTGATTGATAGAGAAAGAGGCAGAGAGAGAGAGAGAGAGAGTATGAATATCATGATGATGATAATTAGATCGAAAGTGGAATGTGAGTTCTAAGCAATGGAAGAGTGAGAGAGAAGATCAGATTACTGTTGCTCTTCTTATGATGATGGTAATGAAAATTCTGAATCAGAAACTTCATATTACATTTAAGAATCTACTCAAGAATTCTGGTTTCGAAGCAAAGATAAAAGTTGCACTAAAAGAATGATGATGAAAGAAAAAGATAAAGGAGTAATGATAATCAATTCTTTTATTTTCCACCTTCTCTCCCGATTGGAGGTCCAACAGGAAACGGATATAAAACTAACCTTATTTGAGATTGAAAAGCAAATTGAGCTAATACAACAAAAGATATTAATCTCAGCTGCATAAGCCAATATGTCTGTCTTACAGTTTATATCATCAGGGGCAGCGGGTGGTTCATAGTGGGTGGTGAATGAAAAGATTTTACTATAAGATAAAAACTATTGGATTAATAAAAAGTTTCCACTGAAAATCTTAATCAAGGTAAACATGATTCATGAATTATGTTATTAACCAAATTGAAGATAACTAATTGATTTCATTTCTTCAATCAATAGTAAAACCATTAGTCAATAATGAATTAACAACGATTCAAATCAATAGATTATAAATTATTGATGGATTAACTCTCGAATTTCTCTCTCTCTCTCTAAATTGATTTGAGAGATAAAACTATGGATTGATTGTAAAGTATTATATCAATAAGTCAATTGTCACGGAATAATAAACATCATCAGAAGGCCAGTTATCATGATGATGATTGTAATAAATTCATTTCTTGTTTGATGATTATCATTATCATGGTGTGTTGTTGAAATCAATTGAGCTTTCAATCTGACCCTCAGAACCTGAATCATCATGAGGAATCAATTGAGTCACGTAAATTAAAACAGAATAACAATAACAATGATTACTATCATGAAGATGATAATAATAACCCCAATCCAAATCCCACTACACTTGATGATGATAAATAATGAAATAGGTAAAAAGTTTAATGTTTGATTATTAATCATTAATAATTATCGAGACTTAAAATATCACTCATAATACTTGAAAGATTGGTGAGATACTAGTAATGGATTAATTAATTATTGACAATTTAGGTTAGCTAATCAATAGTAAAATTAATAAAAATGGTAAATAACCATAGTGATCAAAATCAGATTAATTAATAACCCTAAATCATTTCAATAGTTTTGCAAACAATTTATGTCAACCAAGTTAATATCACCTAATTTTATTCAACAACTACTGTAATTAAAACTTTGTTTTACCTTTTAATTATCACAATTAACTTTAATTATCGATGGATTTTCACCATTTGAATATGTCTCAATCCATTATAATTTATTTACTTAATTTTACAGTAGCCATGACAATTAATTGTTATTAATTTATGGCTGATATTTATGAGAATTGATTTTTACACTAGTTATTGATTGATTTTTGTCTATTAATCATTAACTATCATTATCATAAACAATTAAACTAATACTAAATAAGTATTACATCATCATCAGGTAGATTAACTTGATGATGAATGTTACTTTATCATAAATTTGGACTAATTAGTTGATGTCCGCTTATATAATTAAAATGAACCATTTAACTTACTGTCAATAATTAAGCTTTAAATTGTATTGGAATCGATAATTTTTTTCCAACAATCATTTTAAATGATATTAGAATCCCAGTGTTATTATAGATTTGAATAGACAAACAAGTTTAACTGTTGAGGATTAAGACAAGGTGATTATCCTTGAATTAGAGAGTGTCAAATCTAATGGATTCTAGATCACTCCACTAACTGTGATTAACGTTTTAATTTAGTTAATTGATCATTTACACAATCTAAGCTCCATTAAGTTTTTTCAATCTTATTCTCTTCTTTGTTAATCTCACGTCAGTACAAGTAGAAAAATACTAATCCATTTGGAATTTAATTGATGATGAAACATAACTGAATCCACTTTTTCATCGGAATGATAATACTGAGTGACCAATGTACTAATGTCCGTTTGTTTATCTAGATTATCAAGCAAAAAGGATATTAGCTAAAATCTTGGAAAATTGGATTAACATGTAATCCATTTGAAAATTGCTGAGATTAACTATCACATCTTAATCTGTATTACTTGTTTTCATCTTAATATGTGTTGATTATCACTGACCAATAGTGACCATCACGTTAATCATCATTGAGTTTGGGTAATACTGATAGTCATCCAACAAATTCAATCTCATAGAAAGAAAAATGAAATTCTCAACATTTCATCGCATAAGATGAAACCTCTCATTTGAAGTGGTCACTTTGTCAAAGAAAAAAAAAATTTTCTTCTGTTCCTTAAAAGTAAAAGGCAGAACTTAACATGAACCTGATGATAAAATTCAATTTTGTATCCGACTCATCGTTCTGTCAATGAAATCTGACAGAATTTACTTTATCCTATGGACACATTATCCTTTTATAATATCAGAGAGGGTTTTATCTCATTCCATATTAATATAATAATACTATTTCCGGTTTTATCATGTGTACCATTAGAGAGAGAGAGGGGGGGAGGGATAACAGGAAGATGACCAATGTTGAATCCACTCAATGAAGATAATGAACTATTTTCAATTTGTATTCACCTAACCAATTCAATTGCAATTCAATATAAAAAAAATCGTAATCTGATTTAGTTATTATCTCATCATGTTCCATGTACTCTGAGCTTTTTACCCTGAATTTTATTTCCCAGGCAAAAATTTTCTTCTCATGTTTCTGAATTTATCCCCTTCTTCCATATTTTGGAAGCCAAAAGTTCATCGAAATCAAATAAATAGCAATAACAATAACAATCGAAATACTGTCCAACTGAATAGCCAACTGACCAAAAGGAAATCACATTTTCTGAGCGATCATTTTTTTTGTCAAGTATAAAAAGTAAAAGAAGATGAGAAAGTAAATCAATCAGATGATGATGACAAAAGAATAGGAAATGAATGAATGAGAAACTTTTCTGGTTCTGATGAGGAAGCGGAAGATTGAAATTGTAAACCATTGTGGAGATTGTGTAACATGATAATTCTGAAAAGATATTGACAATTTTTCTCATGAAAAGAGACCAAAAATTTAGTTATCTATTGATCTGATTGTGTTGATAAAAGTTTGATTCACCTGAATTGACTCAATCGATTTCAATGAGATAATATTCATGAAAATCATCTTGAACTTTGACATGAACTTCCCCCTCTTTTTTATATTAATCACTGAGTGAGATGAAATTCAAATAGAAAACACTAAATACAAACTACTGTTTAAACTTATGGATAGATAATTATGATCAATGGCATAAATTGTTTGCCAATGCTGTTGAAATACTATCAATTTCAATTTCGATTGATTTATTTGAATATATTGATCATAATCTATGTGTTGATCAAGTTTGTTTGTTGTAACAACAATCAACACATTTGAAAGGTTGAATTAGTTTTTGATAGTAACCAGAAATTCAGCTTGAGCTTTAAGCAATCAGATGATGAACATGTAATTAAGATAATCGAAGTGAATTATTAACATTGACCATGATTTCCGCTTTTTTCAGCATTCATCTTCCATCATCATCACCAAACACCCACACATCATTATCATCATCATAAGGGATAACTTGTATATCAAACAGTCAGTGGACTCAAGGGAGTCATTTTTCATAACAGAAAGTTGCTGCTTTTGACAAGAAAACAATTCAACAAACACTTTACATCCTGATGATGAGGATGAGGATGAGGATGAAGGTGAGTCAATAATGATGAACCAAAAGGATGCGATTTAAATGCAACATACAATCAGTAGAATGTAATATTAGATACACAATCGAGATGACAAATTGTCCCTAGTGTGTTAATCGTATGTTAGATTTAAAAATTGTGTGGATAACAAGAAGTATTAAAAAAAGGGATAATCATGAAAATCTCCTCAGGGGATTCCGGTCAAAAGCTATTAGCTTTATGAAAAGTTGCTACACTAATGGTAAACTAATCTGAATCCTGACATTAACTAATCATTGAAAATGAATGGATGATAACAATATGATTACAGCAACATGTAGATGATGATTATGAGTATAAAAAAAATAACATTAATCCACTGATTAAAGTTGGATAATCAGTAATCTTCCAACTGATCATCTCATTGTAATCCAATGATAATAATCAGATGATGTAACTTTTTTTTCCTCAATCAATAATGTAAAAGATATTGGATAACACTCCAGGGAATTGTGATATTTGAAATAAACCATTAGATTGACAATATTGATTATGACATTTAGAAATTGTAATTTTCTAATATCAACAATCAACTTTTTTTGTATAAACAATTAATCTCGTTCATTAGAAAGCTACTAAACTGTAAGTTAATAATTGGCTTCTTAGTTCAGTTGATTAACCAAATTTTCTTACCTGTTGAAGGAGGGAAGCTTATTGTTCATGATGGCAAATCGAAGGCAGGAAATTGTCATGAAACCCATGGAAAAGTAAAAGATATTTGCATAAAAGGCACAAGAACTTTTTGATTGAGGAACCATTGATGATGAAGAAGATGATAATTTACAGTTAGACTGTTTTCCATTGGAATTGGTGATATTTCTCAAGTTGAAATTACTTTTTACCCAATTAACCCATCGGTCAGTATTTTGGAGTATCTGAAAATGGAAATGGATAAATATTTGTTTCTGTAAAGTTGATTGTGAACAATTTAATTTACCTTTGATCGTAAATTGTATTTAAATAGTGATTCGTGAAAAATGCAAACAATTAAGGTTGTTGATGCTTGCTCTTTGCAAAAGGTTCCAATCAATGTCAATACGAAGACAATCAAAATTGATTTATCTAAATGAGCAACGAATAAAAAATAAATTGATTGTAAATTAAATTAGTTGATTGTTTGGTTAAGTTGATATTTTCTTGGGGAAAATAATACAATTAAATTAAAAACTAAAATGTAAACAAAATTTACCCTCATTTGGATTGGTAAAGAAAAACAAAATTAATTTAATTTGATTCAATTATTTTCATCTCTGTACATTTAATAGTCGATAGTTTTTAATTGTTAATTCAATTTATACATATATGAATTTTCTTAATTGTTATTGTAAAATCAACTATTAATTCAAAGTAATTACAACAATTAAGTTAAACTGTTTTTCGTTTCACCATCAATAATTGAAACAAAAGGAACAACAATTTATTTAAATAGAAACACAAATATCATCATCATTAATGTTAATTGTTGTTTCCAATTTAAATTAAAACTTTATCCGTGAAAATTTTCCCTGAATTATTTCAACAATGAACAATTTAAAATGTATTATATTAAATTAAAACAGTTATGAGAATAACAATTGTTACGATTAAACTAATTAACTAATTGTTGTTGGAATTGACAAAAATTGATCATAATTAGGAAGCATTAGTGTTAAACCAATG